TCGTCATTGAATGTTATCGATTTCTTGGGACCTCAGGGACCTTCACTGGCCGGATTTGTTAAATGGAAGGTGCAGGTTGCTGAAGGGAAACAATGTAGTGATAGGCATGCTACGGTCTCAACTCTGACATTGGAGCATCACGAACTCCTGCACTTCACAAGGGAGTTGACATTCTTGTGATTGTAGGTGGCGTTACAGGTCTGGACTCCTGCGTGTGTGCGTGTCGCGTATGCGCATCCATCCATCCTTGCATCTTTCTTGATTGCTTCAGTTTCCTCCTCAAATTTCAGTGGCTTACCTAGTCTGAAGGGCCATCACGAGATACGCCACTCGTTCCCGCTGACTGCCCTCGCAGACAATAACTCGAAGCTTCCAGCCATTGTTAAGATGATTTATGCTATTGCTACTACTTAGCCCTATCCGCACCTAGTCCAACAGCAGATACCAGCTGAGAACACAGTAGGGCATGTCGCTAGCAGCGGTTGATATCTGATGAAAGCTCCATATTGTCTTGAGCACTGACTCGACAGCCGTGCGAGAGCTGCAACAGTGAGACTTGCCTGTCCTCTTGTCTCAAATAATCATATTCGTACGCTTACCTCGTGACATTTGCACTGGCCCTTCAGAGGTCTTTGCATAAATTGAGTGGCTAGAGACCGGTACTCGGCCTTTCAGCTGCCCGTGAATTTTGCAAAGCCCACAAAGCATGCCACGACAGCATGGCTAATACGACTTGTAACGGCATATCGATGGTACCTAATGAAGCTGCTCAGTATGGCCACATATACACAATTCCTGAAGACAACCACTCCCCGCTGAATCAGGTCAGGTAGCCCTCCTTGAATTGAGTGTACTATCTGTCTTATATATGCGAATGTTACATGCTGAATTGTTTTGAAATATTTACAGTTCCCGTTTTAGTCATTATTCGCTTCAGTTAGACAACGTTCAAGTAAAAAAGTATAAATTATTCGCAGTTCTTGTTTCAAGTTTGCCTCTATTGAAGGTAATTGCACTTGGAATACACGAAACTTATGTATAGTAGACGAACCTTGTAGGAAAAGATCGCCATAAGATTCATCATCAACAACTAGATGGAACGAGTTCATACGTGGCATGTTTGGATTTCTTAACAGCTGATCTGTCATAGTAGAATCCTATTTCTTAGGTTTTACACCTACATATGGAAAGACAAAACATCGCACACAGGGATCATTCACTAGTAAGCATATATGGGTGGTACTCATACGTCATTAAATATATGTAAGCAGCGCTGTCTACTTTCAATGTCCTTTTCTTTTAGCCATCGTCTCTCTCAGAGCAGTTTAGCGATAAACTTCCCTCCTGGCATCATCAGCATAGACAATCTCTTGTGTTGCTCCACGCGGTTGCTCAATAAACGCAATCTCCTCTCCACCTCGCATCGGTGGATTGTAGTACCGCTCCACAGGCCGCGTGCTGTACTCTTGTCTGACAACCCCCTGTTCCGCAGTTAAGGCACCGTATTCTCGCCCGTACGGTTGTGCGGCTTCACGGCGGTTCTCCGGGTGGGCACTGGGTGCATATTGACGTACGGGTACCTCGGGTCGCACGCTCTGCACTCGGCCATAGTCCCGGGCGACTTCATAGCGGACAGGCTCCGCAGGTCGCACACTGGACGGCCTTGTGATATATTCCCTTGTCCCCTCCTCCAAACGACGTCGTTCTGGAGGTGCCATCACCTCAACAAATTCCCCTGGGTGACCCAATGGACGCAACGGCTGTTCATGCAGCCGCTGGTCTCTATAATCTTGCGATATGTACTCTGGCTGTGTAACAACTCGTCTAGGCATGTACGAAGGTGACCGTCTGCGATAGACTGCCCCGCCCTCATCATATGTCTCTGTCCCTTGGGGCCTTCGGGGTGGAGCCCGTTCGTAAATAATATCAGGCTCCCCAGATCGAGCATGAGGTGCGGCGGACTGCCGAATAATCGTCGGACGAGGTGGCTCGATATACTCACGCCCGTAGGCATCTACGATAATCCGCGTAGGCGGCGGTCGATGAGGTGCCATAAAAACATCACCTTCTCCCCTCAACGCGGACGGAGACGCTTCATGTCCTCCCGAGTAGGGCCAAGATGGGCGTTGTTGGTAAGCTTCGTGGGGACGAACTTGAGGACCGGCCGTTCCGCCAACTGACTGTCTCTGATGGTGAGCTGAAATAAGTGGAGACTGCTCAACGGCATATGATCGTCCTTGGATATATCGATCGTCGGCAAACTCCCGCCTATAGACAGTACCTCCGGGGACAGCAGTGCTTGCTGCGCGCTGGGAAGGGAAATCTACTCTTTCATAACTTGTTGGCATTCGGTCATCTCTCTCCTGGCGGCTGTGCGGAGGTTCTGGTAGATATTGAGTAGGGCGCGGCTCGTAACAGACTTCTTCGTAGCCAGGTTCATCTGGTTGCTGTTGAGTGTACCTTTGACGCTTATTTGGACGATTGTAGGATGGAGCATTCAAGGGTGATGGAGAACGAGGTTCTGGTTTGATATAAGGAGTTGGTTCAACGTCTGGCGCCTGCCGGTCAGCCTTTCTCTTTTTCTTCTTTGTTTTCCTCTTTTCTCTTTCTGAAGCCTGTCCACCTTGAGGCGAGCTTTCAGGACTCGTCACAGCAATTGGTTCATTTCTGAGAACAGCAATTTGGGCGGGTGTACCCGTTGACGAAGTTGAGGTGGCTTCAAGAGCTAGGGGTCGTCGTCGAGCATTCGCCAATGGCGAAGCGTGAGCATCGTGGGATGACCTGGCGTTGATTCTCCTCAGCGGAGAGGGGGGGCGGCTGTCAATATACTGTTCACGGGGCGGCTGCTGAATTGCAGATCCATAATCGCCCCTATGCCTATCAATATCCAAATTGCTTGGGCTTTGTCTAGTACTTGCATCCTGCCTAGGGCCAGCCCTGTCTTCGTTATAAGCCGTAAGGCCAGGAACCTGCCCAGGTCGAATGGCACTATCAACGCCAAAGCCACCAGCAAAAGTTGCTGGATTCGAATACGCTTGTTGATTCTGAGGCTGGCCCCGCGCGTCCGGGTGAATTTGTTCAGCATCAGTCGATCGGTTTTGCAAAATGGCATTGCTGTGGTAGTTTATAGGCGGTCGCGGCTCCGAAGCGGGCACTTGTGCGTCTTCGGATTCGTTACGAATTCGGGAAGTCAGAACGGAGGACGGCGTGTTGTGTTGCGATGAGTAGAAAGTGTTGTCATCGAAGGAGTCACTTGCATTGTCAGGATTAGTAGTATCAGCAGCAGGAACAGTAGTGTCAGGCCCCGTGGTACTCTGAACGCGTGTCAAAGCTTCAGACAAAACCTGATTAAGATCGAATTCAACAACAGGCTCTCCTTGAGCTGCGCTCTTGGTAGTAGCCTTCTTTTGATCAACCTCGTCTTTCAAAGCACGCTCCAGCTTCTGTCTCTGCAATCGCAACTCTGCTTTAACCAAGTCGTCAGACTTCTCTAGGAAGATTGGATTAATCTCAGTAGACCCTGCCCCGTATGGCTTGCTGTTCTTTGCAGTGCTACTGGAAGCAGGGGTTGAAATGCCAACCTGATGTTGCTTGTCTGATTGGTGGTTTGACGCGCCATGCGAACTGGATATATCTATCGGTCGGGTGGAAGAGTTTGCAGATGCATGGAGGTTAGAAGGTTTGATGGTCGGATGCTGACCAGAAAGAACGGCATCCCGCAAGCGCACGATCTTCTCGTACTGCTCGATCTGGTAGCGCTGATCATCAGCTAAGCCAGAAAGCACATTCCTGCTAACAAGAGTCCCTTGAACAGAAATCTCTTGTGCCATAACGGCAACACGTGTAGGATAGTCTACACGTCGCGATACGAACTGACACCAAATAAAGAAGAAAAGGGATCAACACCGCGTTAGCTCAGATGATTTCTGAGCAAAGAAAGGAAAAAACCCAAGACAACTCCACACTTGACACAATACAATGTAATGTAAACCGAGAAAATACTCCGATTAAAGCACAGCGACAGTACGGTCATTGACCAAGAAAATGCTGTTCAAAAGCTTGGAGGTCTGTGCAGGATGATACTGGGATGGTTTTAAAAGATGAGCTTGGAAACGGCAGTACCGTGGTAGGCGGCGCATTGACTTGACGCGGCGCAAACAATTAGGCGGTGTAGCTGGCAGAATTCGCAGTCCAGTATGGAATCAAGGTCCATCTTAACCTAACAGTGGACTCATTCACTAGAATCAAGTCAGTCATTTCACTTCACTTGCCAACAGTCAGCCTGATTCTTGTTCGATAAATCTATTAAATTTGTTCCAGAAAAAATCAGACCCTAGCCAGTATACTGCTGTATTGACTGATTATTGTTTATCCCCAAAAGTCTGTACCGCATGTACCGGCGTGTCAAAGCCTATGATATACACAAAACGAATCTGCTGTGTCTTGAGTTTGGTTTGGTGATAAACTAGCAAGTACAGCATATCGTGGACCTAGGTAAGAAAATTAGTTCCTGCCGTGAAAGAGAATTGGTTTCAAAGCTTTATTGTGCCCTGACTTATAAAGAGTTGGGCCATTCTAATACGGGGCTCACTATAAAGTCACCCATGGATAAACATGGGTTGTCTCGTCCCAATAGTTATCTATGCAATTCAAGACTGTTCGACTATCTTCACGTGTTTATTCGATTCAAAAAGTGCTTGCCTCCTATGTATTTCAGAGCAGTCACGGCATGGTTGATACCTGCTAATTCAAACTTCTAGCCCCAGTTGGAAACAGGCCCGTAATCGGAGTCTGGAACACAAGCTGATCGCTATGCATTATTCAGCCACACACACCGTAAGAGTCATTGGGCCAGGAGCAACGTATCAACGCATACAGATCAATTGAGACAAAGTGCTGTGCTGTAGACTAACTATCAATTGCCCATTGGCTTTGCCTATTAGCCCCAGATCGTCACTGCCCATAAAATCTATTTAAACTATCTTTCATCTCTCTGATAGCCATTCGATGTACCAATTACGACCACGTTTTCCCGCATTATCATCACTCAAGCGTCTATCTAAACCTTCACTACCGGCTTCTTCTTTATTGCTCTACTCAAATTCGGCACCTCATAATCCTCACCCCGCAAAATACAACCCCAGTTTCAACATTCGAGCTTATTCCAAGTTCAGTATGGGTAGCACTCAGGACATGACCCCGGGAAAGCCGGTCCTATTCTTGTTAGACTCTTTCATTTCTTCGTTCATGACGTTGTGGCTAACTTCAATACAGCGATATTGACAACTGCCTCTACCCGAGAAGTAAGTTTCAGCAAAAGCAGACATTCAGTACAACCTCATCCTAACAGTGCGCACAGGCTCCAAGGTCCATGACCTGATGGCTGATCTCATTGACGAGTACTTCTCAAAACATCTGGAGCTTCCTTGGGACGAAGCGGTCAAACTACACAAGGAGTATTATACCAGCTATGGCCTGGCCATAGAAGGACTCGTGCGACACCATCAGATTGACCCGCTCGACTATAACGCGAAAGTGGATGACGCTCTGCCCCTCGAAGGCATCATCAAGCCCAATCCTGAGCTGCGTGAGCTCCTTGAGGACATCGACAAGTCCAAGGTTATCGTGTGGCTTTTCACAAACGCCTATGTAAACCATGGAAAGCGAGTGGTCCGCCTCTTGGGCATCGAGGACATCTTTGACGGCCTTACTTACTGTAACTATGCGGAGCAGCCCATGCTCTGCAAGCCTGACCCCCGCATGTATGAGAAGGCCATGCGCGAAGCGGGTATCGAACGAGTGGAGGATTGTTACTTTGTTGGTAAGTTTCCTCGTATCTCTCTCACGACCTTGTCTAACTTTCATAGATGACTCCGGCTTGAACTGTGCAAAGGCAAAGGAATTCGGCTGGACTGCAGCCCATCTTGTCGAGGAAGGAGTGCCTGCTCCCAAGACTCCAGTTTCGCAATACCAGATCCAGCACCTACGAGAACTGCGCAACATCTACCCCCAGTTCTTCAAGTCTACATCCAACTAGAGAATATATAGAATTTGAGGCAGGCGTCCTTTATGAGCCATATGGCATTATGCATGGGATCGTGGGATAAAATATTAGATAGATGGTGGTGTTCAAGGCGCCCACTAGGTTGAGATACCTTTGTATTAGAGGTTTTTAACAAGCATATCAAAAGCTCGTTTACACAAACTGAACTACCTCGTTTCCGCCAGTTTTCCGAACTCCCTAACTCCGCGCTATAGATCGATAAATGGTTCAAAGCTGTGATCAAGGTCTTCGGATGCTGCGAATCACACCGTCCAGTTCGGCCAGTATCTGATCTTTCTCTTTGATCGCTTCTTGTCGTTGGGCTTCGGCAACCTTTAGATCTTCTTCGAGCTCCTTGATGTATCTCTCTTGGTCCATCTCACTGTTGTCTAAGCCGGGAAGTGACGATATAAGCACCTCGATCTGCTGTTCCTTGATAATGAGGTCCTGAGCTAGCTCTACCATACCAGCACGGAACTCGTCTGCAGGGAGGGAATCGACTGGTTAATAGTTAGTGACTTGATCTTTACAGGGGGAAACCTGATCGCGTACCCTCTTTTGGGATATCTTTAACCTCGCGGATTTTATCATTTGGACCAAGGATTTCAAGGTCATGTCGCTTGTTTACATAGTGAAGACATGCGACAAACTGTTGCGCCAGCTACAGTACGAACATGTCAGCGAAACTGCATCAAAGGAAATAAAACTAATACAAACCTGGTCTAAACCATCCTGGAGTTGCGTTAAGCGATCACCCATAATTATGACTGTTGAGCTCTGGAGCTTTATTAAACAAAGCCTGTATAACAAGAAGATTGTCCTGACCTTCATTCATACTTTGGCTTAGAGAAACGCCCCATCACGTGAAGATATGACGGAAGTCGGGCAATCAACAATCCGCCGGGAAATTTTTGGGGACAGCTAGCTCCATCGTGCCGGGGGCTAGGGGAGGGTTCCTTGCCTTAGGGAAGTGAACACCGTTGTCTCTGGCGAGCTATGACATGATTGGCACGGCATGGTCCAAGTGGCATCAACACCACCTATGTTTGTTCTTTCTCAAGTTTATTCTCTCCCAATCTCACTTCGCTTTTCATGCGCTTTGCTCTTGTCTTCTTCTTCTTCTTCTTCTTCTTCTTCTTCTTCTTAAACCCAACTTGAAACAAAATATTTCATTACATTCTTTGCCATTGATTAATCGTTTACCATGTCTACTCCCCCTCCTCAGCCTGGCCCTCAGCCTGGGCCTGGCCAGATTCCTATGCCTCAACCCGGACAGCGACCAACACCCGAGCAAATCCAGGCAATGCAACGCCAACTTGCTATCGACGCCGAGAAGAATGGCATGACTGTTCCGGAGTTTATTGAACACATCAAGCGACAGGCCCAAGAGCAAATGCGCATGCGAGCGCAACAGGCACAGCAGCAAGGCGGCGATCATGATCATGGCCATGACCACTCTCACCCTCACCCACAGCAGCAGCAGGGTCGCTCCCAGCCTATCACTCCAGGACCTCCCAACCCCAAAGCCCTCGCTCTCGCTGCGTTCCTCCGTGGTCAGGATCTCAAGCCCAGAACAGTTATCCTGAACGGCGAGCGAAAGGACATGTTCCGAGGTAGGTGTCAGCGCAATGATCTGAGATGCTTCAAAACTAACACCACGCAGTCAAGCGAGCCCTCCGAGCCCTCCAGTCCCCCGCTTACGAGAAGGCCCGCAAGAAGAACCCCCTTCTTCCCGAAATCACTGACCGAGCTTCTCTCGAGAACACTTTCAAGTTGCTGCCTCTGAGTATGCTTGCGCTTCGAGTTTCGAAGATTGAGCCCCAAGCAGGCCCCAATGGCAAGAAGCCTAAGCGTGTCAAGGGCCAGTGGACTGTCAAGGTCGAACCGCAGCAGGAGGCACAAGACGACATGTACTATGCTTGGTTGTGGGAAGGCAGTCAGCTCAAGCGAAAGATCTATGCTGGCCTCGCCCTCCTCGCGATTTTTGCTATTGTCCTGTACCCACTTTGGCCTCTGGTGTTGCGTCAAGGTGTCTACTACCTCAGTTGGGGACTCCTGGGACTCCTGGGACTGTTCTTCCTCATGGCCATCTTCCGTGTTATCCTTTTCTGTATCACATACTTTACCAACTCTCCTGGTCTCTGGCTCTTCCCCAATCTGTGGGAGGATGTTTCTTTCATGGACAGTTTTAGGCCTGTCTGGGCTTGGCACGAGGTTAGTAAAATTACGATTCAAAGTGAAATGACAAAAACTAACAAGAATGTAGACCGAGAAAAAGAAGAAGAAGAAGAAGTCGGCCGCGGTTGTCCCTGGAACCAGCGTCAACCCTGCCTTGGCAGGCGCCACTGGTCTTGCGCCCACCAGCGCAACGACAACAGGAACAGACACTCAGGTCAAGACTGGCGACGTGCAGCAAAGGCATTACGAGGCACCTAGAGTCGAGGAACTCGAGGACGATGCTTGAGTGGTGTAGCCGAGTGTGTTTCGATGACGGCGTTTTGAAAGTTGTAATAGTAACATGGTATCTCTACATTTCGGGCCACAATGAAAAGAACGAGCAGCTTTTATGAGTGCGATATGAAATATGTGTTTTAGTGAATGATTCCGAATTTTTATATTAAAACGCAAACCGAAGCACCTCGCCAGCTGGTATCCATCCCTCAAGACAGCAATATCGAGTTGCCTCGCTCCCCTCCTCTCATTGTAAGAGAGTTTCTACAGCACTTTCAAAACGCGTGCAATTGATCCTTGCACATTGCACAGCTTCGACAAACTCTGTGTCGTCTTTGGAGCCCCTTCATGACTACAACGCCAGGTGTTTCCAGAAGAAGGTGCCATCTTTCAGCTCACCGTTTGGACTTAGGCCATATTTGGGGATCTGGCCAAGCTCAACATAGCCGAGCTTCTTGTACACTTCTTCTGCTGGGCTCCCCGTCTCAGTATCAAGAACGAGAATAGTTCGCCCTCTCTTTGTAGCCTCGGTCTCGAGGGCGGACATTAGAGTCCTGGCACCTCCCCTTCCACGGAAAGCCTTGTGTACAAGCAACTTCTCGACAACACCGCGGAATGGGCCTGTTTCTGAAGAAGGCATGTAAAGCATGACAACGCCCACAACGTCGGGCCCTCTTGGGCGAGCTCCTGGTTCTGTTTCGTTCAGAAGGATGAAGATGAGCCGTTTCCCGTCTGCAACTTCGGCGATGCGCTCTTTCCACCACGCAAGAAGCTTCTCATGAGACAAAGGCGGGAGGAATTCCGCAATGGTACGGTCGTGAGTGATACATGAGGCGTGGATGGCAGCGAGATAGGGAATCAAGTGGCCGTGTTGACCTGGCGAGAAGAGGGCCACTGTTCCTGACTTTGTCATTTTGACGACTGTTCCCACTTCTGTCATGTGGAAAATGTTTGATTGATCGGGTGGGTGCCTGCGTGAAAAGTTGTGAGGGACGATGATGGTTCACAAGAGAATAAGTCGTGTCTCAGTAGTGCACAAAGCTTTGTCGAATACCGCATCTGATGGTGCAAGTTTTGATGCCTGAAAGCCGTGTTGAATACTTTTATTTGTGAACGGTCCAAGTATGTATTTTGGTATTACTTGTCTGGCAAAAGATCTGAACAAGATTAGATTCGGGATATCCGATGTAGGAGAAGCTAAACTGACCTTCTTAGACTAAGTACTCGTTTGAGGGCAGAAGTGAGAAAGCTTTTAGGGTAGGAAGTTTTCAGAAGTCGAGTAGAGTAAGGTGCAAGTTTAAGATGATGCCAAGTGAATTGGGTTAAGTTCAAGGATTATACCAGTATTGTTGATTAAATACAAGACCAGACAAGTTAAGTTAATCACGATGTGACTACCCAGATTAAGATGAGATGTGCTCGGTTCGGGTGTGATTCAGTGATTTGAACTTGTACCTGTCTGTAATATGCAGGGAATCTACTAATCTCACCTCATGAAAACCGCCCTGCCCTGCAACCACTACAAGATAGAACCCTTTCCAGCGGGTTGGTGTCGACCCTGAGGACCCAGTAAATTAATGGATGCTACTCTATACTGTACCGCCGTGCCGGGTAATTGCAGGCAGTTAGTTATCGCTTCCTTTTAGTTCCCGTCATGAACCGACTTTGCCTTTTCTTTTTCGACACCCTCAAGGTTGAAATGGATGCATTAAATACTTCTTTACCCCGTGGGATCGTCAAGAGGGTTGCACGCCACGATTGCCACTGATTCAACGGAATAAATGGCGCATTGACGGATCTGGCAGGTTGATGTAAACTGATGGGTTGGGTTAACTTGTAGTAGGCAAATCATGAACAAAACCAAGACTCGTCATTCATGGGTTGATGAAACAAAGACGGGACGGGACATAGCGGGTTTCCGGTTGCTAACATGGATTTGTCGAATACCACGACAGCAAAGACCATATCAGCCCATCGTCAGCTGGTCTCTTTTTCTTACACCGAGTCATGTCTGGCTGTATCCTGTCAGGACAATCACCCTTGGTAGCTGACTTCAGTTACCCGAGATAACAGGGCTTGTAATTGTTGATGTTGACTTTGTCGGTTGACTGGTGGTGAAGCTACCACCGGCGTCTAATAACAACACGCTATTCACTTATTCACTACAAGAAGTCCCAGAGGGTTGGAATATCCTGGTTAACCACAGTCGATGGACTAGCGAAATATAACGAAATGTACATGTGACAGGTCGGTAGATTGTTATTAACTTAACCCCATGGGTTTGCCTGCATCGGAGTATGTAGGGCTGTTCGGGTTTGAACTTCGGCAATCAGCTATACCTGTTAATCATGGTTGGATGAATATGAGTATTCGTTCGATAGTTGATAGTAAGTTGACTCGATTTGACTCTTGGGTCACTTAATCACGGTATCCCTATAACTATATATTTCGGAAGATATTACAAACTTGGAAATTTCATCATACAGAACATTATACTATAACAAGCGAACTTCCAACTATATGCAACATTGAAAATCGTCAATATGTGTACTACTACCTGCACCATCACGAAATGCATGGAATGTCATGCAATACTTGAAAGGTCTTGGGGTGCTAAGATACCCTGCTCCGGCATGGCAGAAAATGGCGTCTGCCATCCTAACCTTGATATACTGACAACCACAGCCTGGGAAAGCAGTGATAAATGCAACTCTTGTATCAAGAAGAAGGAGGAAGAGGAATTGGAGGAGGCTCAGAGAGCGTGGGGTTTCGGAAGGTAGAGCGTCCTAATGCTTCGACCATGAGCCGTCAATACGATATGGCAGATACACCAAGATGCCAACAGTTAGTAATAAGTAGTTATAATTAGAAACTCTTATTCAGTAACCCATTGTTGTACATGAACTAAAAGTGAATAGTTGCTCTTGTCCTCAGTGGTTGTCTTGATACAACTGTCTACGTAGTATATGGAGTTGTCCTTGTAACCCCGCAACTCTTAATCAATGTTCCAATGAATGGCACGAGATGCTTGCTCTTTGTGTCCAATCACGTGTATTTATAGATCACTGCATAGACAACGAATCATGGAAGTCTGGCTCTGGCCAAAAGTACGGATACCAAAGCTTCAGTGATTATCTATTGGCTGTCCACTTTACGCCCATTCCGAGACCAAATCGTCATCATTCTGATTCAGCTCCCCTCCTCTCCCCCACTTCAGACCAGAGCTTCCAAGCTTAGCTCTCTCATGCTCATGGCGTCAGCTTGTCAGTATCACTGAGTGACAACCCAACTCCATTCTTTTCTTGCTTAAATCCACTTGCTTCTTGGCTCAAGCTAGCTTATTCTAACATATACTTTGTCTATTATTCATAAGAGCATTTTGATTCCTGTTCTTACTCTTCCTACCCTGTATCTCACCGCCGAGGTCTTGGACACGTTGAGAACATGGATTTCTTCAAAAAGATCGGCGAGCATGTTGAGAATGCTCTGAAAAAAGACGATGACGATGATGAGCAGCAGCAGCAGCAGCATTCTCAATCCCAGTCTCATGGGGGGCAAAGCCAGCAATCTTATGGACAGTCCAGCTATGGAGGACAGACCCAGCAGTCATATGGACAGTCCAGCTACGGAGGCCAAGGCCAGTACGGCGGTGGTCAGTCGTATGGTCAATCTCAAGGCTACAACGAACCACAAGGCCACGGTTATTCACAAAGCCAGAGCCAATATGGGCAATCTCACGGCGGCTACGGAAACCAAAGCCAGTCCCAGGGAGGCTACAACAGGCCCGAGAGCAGTGGTCGCCCACAAGAAGAGGACAAGCCTAACCAAGACAGCTCACACGACGCTGCCGCCCAGTACCTTCAGAGACAACAAGCTATTAATCGCTACCGTTCATTTGCCGGGGAGTCTACGGGAAATGTGAAGTGGTATGTTGATGGTGCCTCGTACTTCTGGGCTGTCTCCCAGGCTATCGAACGTAAGTTTCAGCAACAACCCAAATTATTTATGGCTATATCTAACATTATTATCGTTTAAAGAGGCCCAAGAAAGCATCTACATCCTTGATTGGTGGTTGAGTCCTGAGTTGTATCTTCGTCGTCCCCCAGCCAAAAACGAACAATACCGTCTGGATCGCATGCTGAAGGCCGCCGCAGAACGAGGCGTGAAAATCTATATCATCGTGTATAAGGAAGTGAGCGCTGCCTTGACGTTAGACAGCTCTCATACGAGGACTGCTCTTGAGGCACTTCATGAGAACATTCGCGTCTTCAGACATCCGGATCACTATCCCACAGGCTACGACTTCCAACGCGAATTGGGCAAGTCAGTAAAAGCCCTGACTAGTTTCGACTTGTTCAAGGCTTCAGGAGATGCTCTCAAGTCTGTTTACGGTACTGCTGGCGATGTTGTGCTGTATTGGGCGCACCACGAGAAGCTCCTGGTCATCGACAACGGAAAGATAGGGTTTATGGGAGGACTGGATATGTGTATGAACCAGCCCTGTTTGCTAATATGAATTTATGCTAACGAGATCAATATTAGGCTTTGGTAGATGGGATACAAGCAGTAAGTTGGTCTTCCGATATTCGTGGTTCATACTGACAAACTTGAACAGGCCACCCCATTGCTGACGCCCACCCGGGTAACCTGGATGAAATCATCTTCCCAGGACAAGACTACAATAATGCTAGGTACGTTGAACTACGAGACAATAATGCAGTTTGCTAAATTTCTCTCAGGGTGTATGATTTCGCCAATGTGAAGGATTGGGATCAGAACCAGCGTAAGTCAATTCTTCTCACAGCTTTCGCTATTTGATAAGAATGACAGCTAATATGTCGTAGTTGATCGTACTAAAAGCTCACGTATGGGTTGGTCGGATGTCACTCTAAGCATGAATGGCCCCATCACTCGTGACATGGTTGACCACTTTGTTGATCGATGGTGAGAAGTCGTAACGTATCGCCAAGCTCAATAATAACTAACTGTGAACAGGAACTTTATCTTCAAAGACAAGTACAAAAAGAAGAACCCTGGAAAGTATCATGCACTCGAACTTCCTCCACGAGGTCCTTCTGGTGGTGGAGATAGACGATCCAGAGGTGAAGATGACCACTTGGGTGGTTTGACTGAGCAATTCAGCCGCGGTATGAACAGACTCAGGTCATTTGGAGAACATGATGCTCCACGACACAGTGACCGCGAACACGGCTCTCGAGGTGGCAATATGCCTCACATTCAAATGATTCGAAGGTACATTATCTCACTCCCAGGTTTTCCGCAGCCAATAACATGATATAGCTGTGCTGAGTGGTCATCCGGCCATCCGATTGAGCGTTCTATCCAAACTGCCTACATCCAGTCGATCAACGATGCCAAGTATTTCATTTACATTGAGAATCAGGTATGTTAACCCTTCCTTTGAAAAACTTTTACTGATAGTCCAGTTCTTCATTACTGCTACCGACGAGAAGCAAAGGGTTGTTAAGAACAAGATCGGTGCTGCATTGGTAGACCGCATCATTCGTGCCGATCATGAAGGCCAGCCATTTCACGTCTGGGTTCTTATGCCCGCAGTCCCAGCATTCGCTGGTGATCTTCACGACGACGGCGCTTTAGGAACCCGAGCTATTATGGAGTTCCAGTATGACTCTATCAACCGTGGTGGCTACAGTATCATTGAGAAGCTTCTTAAGGCGGGCATCCGTGATCCTAGCAGATACATCGGCTTCTACAACCTTCGCAATTTTGATCGCATCAATACTTCAAGGACAATGGCCGAAGCAGAAGCCCGCACTGGCGTCTCTTATGAAGATGCTCGAAAGCAGAAAGATCGTGAACTGGGCGGTTACCCAGACCATAGCTCTGAAAGGGCGGCGCATGAGGAATACCAAGGGAGTCGCGGCGATTTCTCTAGTCCTCGCCAAGGTGGCGGATACCAAAGCCGAGAGTACGGAGGCCGTTCTGAGCGAGACGAGTACCACCAGGAATCTCAACGTGGTTACGGTGGCAGTAGAAGACAGGACGACGATCACCGCGGAGGACACTCGGACTCCAGGTACGGCAGACGCGGTAGTGATAGCGATGATGATCGCCGGGGAGATTACAACCGTGGAGGACAATCTGGCTACCGTGGAGGCAACAGGAGAGGCAGCGATAGCGATGATGACCGACGAGGAGATTACAACCGTGGAGGAAACAGGCGAGGCAGCGATGGTGATGATGACCGACGTCGTGATAACTATGGCCAACCTCAGAGGGATCCTTACGGGCATCCACGAGCTGACCCACGCTTTGCAAGACAAGGAGGTTATTCTCAACATGACTCCGAGTCCAAGTACAACAGACGCGATGATGACAGCGATGATGAAAAGAGAGGGGGCAATTATGGAAGACAGCCTCAGCCTGATCCTTATGGCCACCCTGGAGCCGATCCTCGTTTCGCAAGGCCACAAGGAGGCTACTCGCAACAGGGCTACGGTGGACGTGATGAGTATCAAGGTGGTTACTCGCAGCAAAGCCAAGGAGGTCGTTCTGACTACGACCGACCGCAGAGTCAGGAACATCAAGGACAAGGACGCTACTCTGGCTCTTCAGGCCACGACAAGAGACCTCAGCAACAATCTTACCAGCAATATCAGCAAGGGGCAAACCAAGTGGCGGACCGCACTCTTGATACCATCAGTGCTTGCTACATGGACCAAGGCCCTCGAGTCACCGATCTTCGCTGGGAAGGTAACCCCGAAGATGAAATCAACGCTTTTGTTTCCGAGGAGTTGTACATTCACAGCAAATTGCTCATCGTCGACGACCGCCTTGTAATCTGTGGTTCAGCCAACTTGAACGATCGTTCCCAGCTCGGAGACCATGACTCTGAAATCGCCGTCGTTATCGAGGATCCCACTCCTTGCGAGTCTTATATGAATGGACGTCCGTACACAGCCTCTCGCTTCGCCGCTTCCCTGCGTCGATACCTCTTCCGCAAGCATCTCGGCCTCATCCCCAACCAGCGCTGGGACCAGCCTGATCAAAACTGGACGCCTGTTGATCGCGACCCCAACAGCTACGACTGGGGTTCCCCGGCCGATCTCCTCGTCCGTGATCCTCTGCATCCAGACTTCCACCGTCTCTGGACCAATACAGCTCGCGTCAATACCGAGACATTCGACCGGGCATTCCACCCTGTTCCCACTAACAAGGTTAGGACGTGGAAGGACTACGACTCCTTCTTCACTCAGTACTTTATCATCCCGGGCAAGAAGGACCAGGATGTTAAGGCGGAGATGAAGAAGGGCAAGGTCGAGTACGGCCATATCGTACAGTCCGAGTTCCCTGGTGGTGTACAAGAAGTGAAGCAATGGCTTTCGCGCATTCGCGGCACGCTTGTTGAAATGCCTCTTGATTTCTTGGTCGATGCTGGAGATATTGCAAAGGAAGGTTTGGCGCTCAACAGTCTCACGGATGTGCTTTACACTTAATTCAAGTTACATATCAAGGTATTGATTGCTTGGGTGAGGGAATACATCGAGGTCCTTTTTGATAGTCAGGTTTAAGTACAGGTAAACGAATATGCAAAATAGCATAACTCTCCTCATTGTATGTTTTGGCCGTAGAAGATTTGCCCCGCCGTGAACCATTACTGCTTTCAGTTAAGACAGAAGCCAAAATAAAGCAATTGTGTAGAGGACTCAACTGTACTGATATGGCTTTCGATTGATACACGGACAAACAACACACAAATGCAAATGACATTCTCACTGTAACTGATCTACTATACAGCGGCAACAAATTCAAAGCAATAGTTATCAAACCAGAACTCCGCAATTCAACAACACTTGACCAAAACATCCTAATGCGACCCGTCCCAGAAACCCCTTTATAGTTGATCTTTTTAGTAGTGAGTGACACGACTCCGCTCTTACAAGAATCGATTCTTTTAATCGGACTTGGCGTTGCTATTCTGACCCAGGAGTCCATCCTTGAGACCCATGTTATCGTCCCGGAAGAAAGTGCCGCGAGATCGTCGAGTGCGGTTACGGAACCAAGAGTAGAGGCCAAAACCAACAGCAAAGACAAAGGCAATGGACAAGAATGGGTGGTCGACAAAGTTCATCTTGATGTCAAAGAAAAACTTGGCGAAAGAGCTAATGGTGTACTTGGGAGAAATTGGGTTGGGGCCGTAGACGATCTTGTCAAGGGTGTCCATGATCGAGGTATGGCTGACCATGATCTGGTTGCCGGTAGGAGTAGTGTCCCAAAACTTGTGTCGCTGCCAAATTATCAGTATACGGCCAGTCTCGATTGAAATTACGGAAACTTACATCTTCTTCGTTGATGATGACACGCTCACCGTCTCTCACATCAATGTTGTAGGTGCTAGCAATCCATCTCTGCCAAAAGATGCCATCAACCCAGGCAAAACCAACCTCCTGACGACGGGTAGAATCCATGTCAATCTTGATAGCCTTGGCATTGCGAAGACCGCGTTGGTCGTCACGGCTTTGTGCCTCTTCAATTCTCATCTGCTTGGCATCTCGGAGCTTCTTACGCTCGAGCTGAAGCTCCTGAACCTGGCGATCCACCCACTCATTTGCAGCGTTCTTAAGCTCCAAGATGGAGTTTTGAAGACGGTCCTCATCATCACGATTAAGAATGGCAAGCACAACCAGCTTGTGGTTCATGATCTGCTTGGCGTTGATGGCAGTCATTTCAGGAACGAGAGGGAGCCATGTGGACTTCATCCACGAAACCAACGAATCAACATCTCTCATCTCGTCGGGTGTGATGGGAGTATAGTAGGTCGCACGGCCCTCTCGGGAGACTAAGAGCCTGGGCCAAGTTGTGATCTTGAATCGGTTGTATAGCTCGGGGTCGCTTGTTTTGACGATCTTGCCTCGTCCAATAAGGTTAAGTGGTAGAGCGTCTAGTGCTTTAAAATCTTCGGTTGTAGTGGCGTGGTCATAGAAGTAAACAAACATGACTTCCTCGGTCTTTTCGAGCTCCTTGAAGCTCTCAGCATCAACATCAAGAACGCCACCTGCAACCTCAAGCGCCCCCTCGGCATAAGCAACAAAGTCACCGACCCCGCGAAGACCCTTGTACTCGGCCTTTTCCGCGCCGTTAACAAAGTAAATGGTCGGGAACGCCTTGACACCCATTTGGGTGCAAAGCTTATGGTCAGCTTCACAGTTGACCTCGCCGATGTTGAGTTTGCCCTGCATTTTCTTGGCCAGTTGTTGCCATGTAGGAGCCATAGCTTTGCAGTGAGAACACCAAGGTGCGTAGAACTTGATGAACCAGGGATCCTTCGAGTTCGTAACCAGGGTATCAAAGTTTTCGGGAGTCAGAGGAGCGCTGATACCCTCCAGGTTGTACTTGGGTGTAGAATCTTGGGCTTTGGGTTTCTTAAGCATCTGACCGGTGCTGGGAACTTTCCAATCGGCGCCAAATGAGTTCTTGTTCTCACCCTGAACGGTCTTCTCAACTATCTCAGCTTTATCAGACTTGTCCTCGCCTTTGGGCATTTTGGTGACATCATCGAGAGATTTGCCTTCAGTTTTACCAGCTGGCTCCTCGGCAGCCTTTTCAGCAACGATATCGAGGGGCTTCTCAGCTTCAACCGCAGCCTTTACGGGCGCCTCTGCCTCCTTTTTCTCAACAGAAGACTCTGCAGGCTTCTCTTCAGTCTTTGGGGCAGGGAAGACCTTGTCACCAGGGTTGGGTAATTCAACGAGTTCGGGTCGGCCAGGATGTGTTTTGGCAAGCGCTTTTTCGATCGTTGTCGTCAATACTGTCATATTCTTAATTCCGCGTAAGGACTCAAACACCTTGCCATCTTCGTAGAGGATTGAAGTCGGGTATGACTGAATTTCGTGCTCCATACAGAAGTCATAGTAGGCAACACAGTTTACAGTGCCAAAAGCAAAGTCGTAATACTTTGTAAACGTGGCTTCCGGATCGTCGACTTGAGGCTTCGAGGTATAGTAGAATTCGTAGAGAGTTTGGAAAGTCGGTGCGAACCTAGTACAGTGTTTACAGTAGGGGCTGAGATCTAGTAAGTACACCAACTGTGGCCTATTCCGAGTGCAACGTACCTGAAGTGCTTAACCATTAGGAACTTGTTCTTCTTTGTCTGTTCCTCCCAGTTTGCGGGAGTCAACTCAAGCAATGGCGGCACCGTCTTCCCATTAAATACTGAAGGCTCTGACACGGGATTCTTAACCTCGTCGGCCAGAACAAACGCAGACAGCCCCGCGAGGGTCGCAAGCGGAGAGAAACGCATGCTGGGCTAGAAGTGCCGGGGGAGGTGTAAGATTTATAAGTCGCAGAAGGGTTGAAGAAGTGGTCGGTTCAGGACATCCGTATTCAAATATTTGCCGAGACTCAAGGAACAAGGTAGACTATGCAGAAAAACGCGAGACAAGAAAGAAGCAGTATCGGGCCAGATTAGGTGGTAGAGTGATTAGCCACTGGCGATTGTCTGGGGGTCAAGGCTCAGGTTGGTTGAAGTTATACCAGATACATAAAAGAAAAAGAGGGAATGACCAGAAAACAATCGTACAATCGCGCTCACCAGGCGCGAAAGTAGATGGCGATGACGAGGGGCAAGAATGAGAATAGAGGAAATGGAACAAAGAGGAAGACAGAGAGAGAGAGTTTACTTAGTATTCAGGAGGCGCATTCAACTTCGAGACCACGTTCTGTATCGGAATTCGACGCCACAGGAGAGGACCCTGCTCAGCCACTCCACTTCCTCCACTGAACCTGAACTTGAGCTTGCCGCTTGCCTATCTTGGGTTTGGGAGATTTTGCTCCAAGTGAGCTGATGGTAAGCTTAGATACCCGTTCAGGGGAGCTTATTATTAGTTAACTAATGTATCGAGGCACACAAAAAAAATACAGTGGCTTTCCATCGATGCGTGTTCGATTTTACATTTGTAAGTGTTGATGTCCAAGTTTCCCAGTTCGCCAATAGATTATCAGTGGTACCTGCCTTAAGTTGCGTCCCACTTGCAGGTTGATCAACGGCAAGGGGAGGAGCTAATAAAGGAAGGGAAGCCTAAATGGAAGTAAATAACTTTACACAAACCATCATCTTTGTCTACTCGTTAAAAAAAAACGGGCTGAGGATTCTGATACAGTCAATTTCACTCTAGTCAAGGGTATTATCTCCGAGATACACAGGCCAGATTTATTTCCCGACCTCGCACATGGTTCTTGCTTCACGAACAACTTTCCGGTCCATCGCGAGCTTCTTAGCTGGTATTTGTTGGTGTGATACAGTATAAATTCAACACCGTCTCGAATTCTCACAACTTTGTCGTGGTAGTTTCCTTTCGACCAGATCAGCTCGACAGACTTTATCGACAATACCAGACTCTCAGTTTACTACAATGGATCGTCCTGCCAAGCGTCAGCGATCAACGGAATTCAAAGCCCATGCACCTGAATCACTACAGCGATCCATAAGCCCCCCAAGAAAGAGGGCCCGCAAACCAGCTACGATACAATCTCCTTGGCAGTTGACATGGATTCAAGATCTCCCAGAAAACGAGAACAAGGATGCAGTGAGCCTTCGGGACTTATTAGGCGATCCCCTCATCTCAGAATGTTGGGAGTTCAACTTCCTGCATGACATCCCCTTTTTGATGAATGCATTTGATCCTGACACACGCCACCTTGTCAATGTTCATTTGGTTCATGGCTTCTGGAAACGTGAAGATGAGAACCGCATAGCGTTGGAGGTAAGTCCAACAGGAAGTGGACGGAGCCTACAACACGTCGTCTCGATGCTCGCGTATGGGCCACTTGCTAACTAAAATCAGAATGCAGCTGCAGAATTTAAGAATGTCAACATTCATGTTGCTCCTATGCCCGAGATGTTCGGGACCCATCATTCGAAGATGATGATTTTATTTCGACATGATGACACTGCCCAGATTATCATTCATACCGCCAACATGATCCCAAAAGACTGGACTAACATGACCAATGGTGTATGGAAATCTCCATTGCTTCCCAAAATGTCAAACATTCAAAGCCTTATGTCCTCCCCAGATGACTTCCATGTCGGTAGTGGAGATCGCTTCAAAATCGATCTTCTAAACTACCTGAGGTCTTACGACAAGCGCAAGATCATCTGCAAGCCTCTAAGCGACAGGCTCGAAGAATACGATTTCTCGACTGTCAAGGCCGCGCTCATCGCAAGTGTTCCGGGCAGGCATAATGTGCACGATATGTCGGAAACATCTTGGGGCTGGGCCGCTATGAAAAGATGCCTGCAGCATGTCCCGTGTCATCAGCATGGTGATTCAGATATTGTCGTGCAAGTATCTTCAATCGCCACACTAGGGCCAAAAGATGATTGGCTACAAAAGACCCTTTTCGATCATTTGAGTCGCTGTAAGAATACGGGTCTCGGGCGGCCCAAGTTTAAGGTTGTGTTTCCTACGGCAGATGAAATACGACGGTCACTGGATGGATATGCGTCAGGTGGTTCTATACACACAAAGATTCAATCACCACAACAAGCAAAACAATTGGAATATCTCCGCCCAATCTTTCATCATTGGGCCAACGATTCGTCTAACGGCGCCAGTGGGTTCAATCTATGTCTATGTCTAAAGGCACAGTTAACGATCTATAGAACTTCCCAACAGTCCTTCGCATGAAAGTGGCCGCAAGAGGGCAGCGCCACATATCAAGACCTATATTCGATCAAATAAGTCATCCATAGACTGGGGCCTTCTCACATCGGCCAATATCTCGAAGCAGGCCTGGGGCGAAGCAGCTGGTCCCACAGGCGAGATGCGTATCGCATCATGGGAGGTTGGGGTGTTGATATGGCCAGAGTTACTCGAGCCAGGCTCGGTCATGGTAGGTGCCTACAAAACAGATGTGCCGGAAGTCGCACAAAACTCAAAGGAAGACGAAGAAAGTCTTCCCGTGGTTGGATTACGAATGCCGTACAACACTCCATTGCAACGCTACACGAGCGACGAGGTACCTTGGGTCGCTTCAATGTCACATACAGAGCCTGACTGGGCGGGGCAGTTTTGGGGTTGATGGATGGGATCATGACATTCGAAGTCATGATAGGGCTGCGGGACTCGACCAATCGTTTGACACAAGATGCTTGTCTTGGGTCTAGCACAAGAGCCTCATTCTTCTCGAACCAAGCATTACGAAACGAACCACAAGACCTCGTTGACGATCCACCCCCGCATCTTATTAAGTGGCTGAGATAAACCCATCATGACATTGTGCATCCAAGATTCGAAAAATTGCATGTCTTTGACCAGAACTGGTAAGACTCCACTGGTAAGGATTGGGTAGCCTTTCCGGCCTTCAAATGGCGCCTTTCGCCGCGACAAGGCGGGTCTTTGTCAACGCTAGCTTGAAAAGTCCAGCCGAAGACTCTTTTTAATCGGGTCTAGTGATTGACTACAACTATTCATACCTATACAGAGTACAGCCTCCTCATTCTGTTCCGATCACTTCTCTTCTTTTGCTCCTCTCTAATCTCTCGCAATCTGCGCATTTCTCTCAGTGCATGCTGGGGTAAACAGCACAATTGAACTCATCTTAATCGCATTATACCACCGAACTTTTCCTCACTCCGCAAGCTGAACTAGTGGCGTGCCTTGTTGTACTCTGAGCAAAGTCTTTTTTCGTGTGATCATACAGAAGTTTTCGGGCCTCCATTTGCCTAGCAAACAGTTACAGCTGAAGTGGCTGTGAGAGTTGAATATGGATCCAATAGGAAGGGGAGCAGGAGTTTCGCCATACGGCACTCCGCGTGGTTCTGGCGCGCATCCTGCGTTATCTTCTTCATGGCGAGTGGGCTCGCCTCTAGCTGAGGCTGCTCTGGCTGCAGACATTGCCGCATGCTCGGACGAGGAGTATGATGATAGTGCTATCGACGACGATGTCTCTGTATCTGATCTCCCAGGCGATCCAATCATGTATCGTCGTCCCAGCGGTGTTGCTTTTGGAGGCTCACGGCCGATAATGAACCCTCAAATATATGATGAGCCAGGTTTGACGGCCTTAGAAAGGAAACAGTCTCGTAACGCTGAGCGCAGCCTTCTTCGGGACAACCATGTTCTTCCGCCAAAGCACGGGCACCGTCGGCAAGATGGTTTCTTCTCTCGTATCTACCAACGTCTTTTTAGCACGAAGATACCACAGGACGAGGAACAGGCGCCTGTTGTTTCAGTGCAGCCTCCTAGCGAAGCAGACCCTCTCTTGGGTTCCCGAGTTGACGCTGTATCGCCTGAGCATCTCAATGAAACATGGGATCATGCGGTGGCCGAGCATCGAATCAAGACCACCTGGCAACGTGAAGCGAAGACTATCGCAAGCTATTCTGCGCCCCTCATCGTCACCTTCCTCTTGCAATACTCGATTAACGTCACCAGTATCTTTGCCGTTGGGCGAATTGGTAAACTCGAACTAGGTGCTGTGTCATGTAAGTTCATCAGCAATTGGTAAAACAGAGGTGAAAGAAGGCTAACCCGTACAGTGGCCAATATGACCGCGGCTATCACTTGCCTGGCGCCTTTCCAGGGCCTTGCTACTTCTCTTGATACGTTGTGTGCACAAGCTTATGGATCTGGCCATAAGCATCTTGTTGGATTGCAGTTCCAGCGAATGACTTGCTTCTTATTTGTGCTTGCTGTGCCGGTTGCTGTGTTTTATTGGTTTTCTGAAGGCGTCATCAGAGCGCTTGTTCCGGAGCCCGAATCAGCCCGTCTGGCTGGCATGTATCTTCGGGTTATGATCTTCAGCATTCCAGGATTCATTCTTTTTGAAGGTGGCAAGCGTTTTACACAAGCCCAGGGTTTGTTCCGCGCCACGACCTACGTTCTCCTCATTGTTGCGCCCTTCAATGTCTTCCTGAGCTGGCTCTTAGTCTGGAAGTTGCAGTGGGGTTTTATTGGAGCTCCTGCAGCTGTCGCCATCAGCAACAACCTCCTCCCTATATTCCTCTTCTTGTATGTTCGCTTTATCGATGGTCGGCAGTGCTGGGGTGGCTTTAGTCGACGGGCTCTTAGCAACTGGTGGATTATGATTCGACTTGCTCTACCTGGTATGATTATGGTTGAGGCAGAATGGCTCGCCTTTGAAATCTTGACGTTGATGGCGAGTCGATTCGGTCCAGAATATCTGGCTGCGCAAAGTGTTGTGACCACCATCACGACACTCTCGTATGAAATTCCATTCCCTATGTCTATTGCCGCCTCGACTCGCATTGCCAATCTCATTGGAGCTGGCCTTGTTGAGCCAGCCAAGAAGACGGGTGTTGTGGTAAGTTTTACTTGGAAAGAATTTCAAATTTATTTACTAATGTTATTCAGGCTTTTGCTGCCGCCTGTCTCATCGGAATGTTTAACCTTACTCTCTACACCACTCTGCGCTATAAGCTACCTCTATTGTTCACCAAGGACGAAGACGTTATCGAACTTGTTGCAGCAGTCATGCCTATCGTGTCAGTCATGCAGGTATTTGACGGTCTTGCAGCAGGAGCCCACGGCTTGCTTCGAGGTATTGGAAAACAATCAATCGGTGGTCCCGCCAATATCCTCTCGTACTATGCCCTCTCACTTCCCATCTCACTTGCTTTGGCATTTGGTCTTGATTGGAAGTTGGACGGCTTGTGGATTGGAGTTACATGTGGAACTATCTCGTATGTTAAAACAAGCGTCTCATTGGTATAACCCTTACTAATTATTGCAGTGTCGCATCGATTGAGTATATATACTTGTTCCGAACCGATTGGCACAAGGCTGCTGAAGAGGCAGCAGTTCGTAACGCTGCTGGTTAATAGCATGGAAGTTGAAAGACCGCCCGGCATATATGGAGTCAAGCACTTACTTTTGGATTTGTTTTTGAAATCTGATTCTTGCATGTGAAAAACTGGGAGATTGACGAGAAATTCAAGCGTTAATGATTGTGTGGTGGAGAGGTGCAATAGAAACCACTAGTAATAGTACAGGTGTAATGTACAAACTATTGACATACTTAAGGGGGATGATCGTTGTGTTGGTGCCATGAACTGTTATGAGGATGCCTTCACGAAACCTTGTGTTTGTGCAGAAACTATGTTCTTCCAAGCAGCCAATTATTTGGATACGTAGGTAATGTGAGTTTTCATACAAGACTGATTCGAATCTATGGTATTATCTTATGCCTGCTCTGCTCGCCCTCATGCTCATTTCATCTTGCATCTTCCTCTTTTTACCATTTCGCTAGGGGCCCCTTAATAACTCCTGTCTCGAATCCTCATTAGAAAGCGCCGCTTAGTGGGGACAATGTGAACGAGAGCCTATATAATGACACAAAAATATCTGCTTGGCGTGGTTCTCTAGCCTAGCATAGAGTGCGTGCGAATGCCCTTGGGGCCGAACTCACTTTTGGAACACCGTTAGTGGCAATCATAGATTTGAAAATGACGTGAGAACTTACTTGTAGTCTACTCTGCTCAAACTCATGAGCCGTTGAGCCTCGATGGTCTGGGCATCCATGTTGGAGTGTATACAGAATGCGATACGAGCGGCGACTTGAGCACCGAGGAACATGGACTCTTCGAAGCCGTTCTTGGTCCACTCGCTCAGATAGGTAGGTAGCGCAGCAGTCTTAATGCTGGTTGGGGTCTGACTATGGAAATGGTGAGTCGTGGTAGGTCCTCCAGCCTCAGATCCAGCAGGCTGCGGTGTGCCGACCATGTTAGTGCCGGTGTTACCAGCAGCAGCGGCCGTAGTAGCTGCCTGGAGCAAGGGGTTCACACCGCTTGAAGAGAGCTGGTGAGGTGCGCCAGTGAAAGAGCCAGTGGGAGTCTGGGCTCCCGTGCCGGTGGGCGTGGCCATGTTGGAGGGTAGCTCTGATGTGAACATTGTCGCGGTGGAGGGGGAGACGAGATGGCGAGCGTTAAGGGTCTGAAGAATGTTCTCGCGGAGACCGCGCAGACGAGCACCGTTGCCGACAAAGACGAGGTTGTCCCAGCAGGCAGGTCGCATGTACATGTCATCAATGCCCTGGACCGTACGGTAGATAGCGTTCACAATGCGATCGATCTCACGACGTTGGGCAAAGGTGAAGCGCTCAAGGCCAACCTCGACATCTCGACGAATGCGCTTCGGTCGCTTCTCAGGTGTCTCAGGAACGGGCTGGACATCTGGCTTGGGCTCAGCTTCAGGCTTTGGCTCTATCGACTGGGTTGGTTCTTGAGCGTCCGCTGGCTTTGGCTCTTCAGGCTTTGGCTCCTCCGTTGTGGGTGCGGCGGTCGCCTCTCCCTCTCCTTGAGGAGGTTGCGCGCCGTTGGTCTCGCCCTCGGGCTTGGGAGGTTCTGTTGTACCGTTGGCGGGGTTTTCTACAGTCTCCTTCTCCTTTGATGGTGGGGGAACCTCCTCTTGAATAATCTCTTCGTAAGAAAAGGTGTTGTGTGTTCTCTTCGAGTTTGGTAGGCGGGCGGCCTTGGCTGCATTCTCAGCCTCCTTTTCGCCCTTCTTTCTACCGCCCTTGGTCTTCTCCTTCTCCTTCTCCTTCTCCTTTTTGGCAAGAAACTCCTTTGTTTGGCCGCTCGTAACAATAGCCGCCACGTCCAGCACACCATCATCCTCGGCGTTGCCATTGCCCTCTTCGTCTCCATTCTCCGTGAGTTTGGGCGCTTCAGGGGCTTTTGTGGTTGCTTCTGCAGTAGCGGACGATTGACCAACTGGTACACCAAAAGTGTTCTCCTTTGGAAGCTCCATCAATTTATCCTCAGTGGGATTGTAAGGAAGAACCTCACAGATGTTGCTCTTCTTCAATTGTTCGGCCATGTCGCGGTTGAAATCCTTGTCTTGTAGCAACTTGGCCAAGCTTCGAGTGAAGACTTCACCTCCACTAATCTCTTCGTCGGCTTCGGTAGCGCTGACACCCATATGGTTTACGACTCGCCCGTCGTGAATTGCTGTAACGTCGACTTTCTCGTAACCAATGTCCACCACGGTCATATTGGGCCACTTCAATCCGTACTGGGTAGCGATTCCGCTGTGAATTATGCACAATGCAGGTGTCCTCGTGTTCTCGAAAACGTATCGGGCTATGGTTTCGCAGTCGGGACGGGTCCATTGTGGTGAAGCCATGAGCATGATGGGAGTGTTGTGATAAGTAGTTGTAAGCAGGCCGTGGACATGATCGAGGAAAGCGAGGAGTGCGCTCATGTTGACAATGCGGCCAGCTGCATGCGTGACTCGGTTAGTATTGGATACTCTCACTTCACCAGACCTCTCAATGGCTATAGCTACCTTGAATAGGATACACAGCTCCCTCATCCTCATCAACATCCTCCAGCCACTCGTCCTCCTCCACGCCATTAACGATGGTTGTGCGCTTCGTCTTGTGGTATGGAGCCCATTGGTCGCCCTCCTTGAACATCCTCGTGGGCATGCGCCGCGCAGGAGGCGTCAACTCACTGCATCCCAGCTGAGCCATGGTAGTCTGGCTGCCAGGGCAGATGATGAGGACCTGCTCCTCGCGCCATTTGCCCGCGGTGCTGGACATTGTGCGATTTCGAAATTTCCTTGCACTTTCTGTGGCGTTGTTGCTTTGGTGGTAGAGATATTCGTATGGTGACGGCGTTATAGGGCCGTTGTTGCGTCGCGATGGTGTAGCCGTTGGCGAGCCTTCTCGAGGTTTGCGCGCCCGTAGCTTGTACCGGGGCGACGACGCGACTAGTGTGGCTGGTGTAGCAGCATCATCTGAAGCGGTCGGAGATGGCACGTGACCTCTAGTGTCTTGTTGCTTCTTTGTAGGGGTCTCGGTCTTGGTTATTAGGGAGGCCATTTTTGGTGAAATACAAAAGTCATGAACACTTCAAAAATGACAGAAAATAAAACAGAAGATTGATTTGGTTGCGACGTGATGGAGATATTGAAATGATTTCATCTAGAACTACTGGTGTATGAAGTTTGGTAGCAACCGATTCTGTCAACTGTCTGCCAGTGCATTGCCAGTGCCAGCCCAAACTACACCAAACACTCGCCCGTCACCTTTCAGACCGTCGATTGAATAAAGAAACACAAAATGAATGACAATTTGCTTCTGCATTGGATCTATTCAATGGCATTAAGAATAATACTTTGTCATAGTCTGGCCTCTCTACTGTTAAACCGAGGCCAGGACTTCCAAATAATAACTCCAGGTACAGATATCACTTGCTTGCTATCAAGTCAAGTCAAGGATCCTTCCTTTTTTTATATCCACATGTCTGAACGTTCGCCTCGTCTCCTTTGTCGTCTCATCACATCCCGTACATCGACAATACTCATTCCATCCTTGCATCAGTTTGGACCTCGAGCCGGTATCAGCTCTGCGCTGCTCGAGAAAGACCAATAATAAAAAAGTGGTCATGACCATCCCATCAAACGCCGTCCAGGAGCCAGATATTAACTCCTGGTGCATAAAAACCCATCATAACGTACATTTTTACCAAAAGTATGGACAAGAATGCGCAAAAACTTCTCTCTCCCCCCCAAAAAAATAACCCCGTCAAGTGATTGATTACCCATGAATAAGCTCAGGTTGTACGCCATATCCCATTTACTCTGTGAAAAATCGTCGTGTCTCCCTCAATTATACAACCGTGATCGTGTTGAGGGTTGTCTCTTTTGATGCCATCTTTTCTAGCTCTTCATGCTTCTCGTTCATCTCAGTTGGCTCAGTTTCTTTTGCTGGCTTCCTGGGGGTCTCGTCTTCAGTAATGTCGTCAATGACAGAAAAAGGTCGGTCTGATGTAGGTGTTGTAAGTGTTGTGCCGTCGACACTCCATCGGTCTTCAGTCACTCCAGTATACACAGATGAAGTGTGCTTCTTGTCAGACGTGCTGGGGCTGTCTGGGCGCTCCTCCTGGGGAATTCTGGGAGATGTCTGAGCGTCCTTCGATTCAACCTTGGTACCCTCGGTTTTCGCCTCCTCCACTAGGAAGAACTCAACCTCAGATTCGGATGATTTATCGTCGTCGGACTTGGCCTCGATCTTGGTCTTCTCAACCTTGAACTCCTTGGGTTTAAGATAAGGCGAAGACTCGGAGTCGGTTTTCTCATTCTCCGATGCAAGGTCTTCTTCGGTGAAGGCCTCCTTGCGCAGAGGGCTTCGAAGGCTTGAAACATCGCCCATCTCGCTCTTACTAGATCGGGATGCCCTACCGGGGTTCCTCATGGGCAGAGGGGGAGGGACTCTCTTGGGAATGATGACCATGTTACCCTTGGCGTGGACCATGCGGGATGCAACAGCCTGGGTTCTTGCCGGCTGCACAGCAGCAACCTCAAACACCACAGGTTCCTCCTCGTCCTCCTCTCCAGCGTCACTCTCGGAGTCACCCTCGTCATCGGCGTTTCGGCTGCTCTTATCATCCTTGTCGCTATCATAATTGCTCGAAGCCTTGTCAGTGTCATCCCTGGGCTCGACCTTGAGGGTGTCAGGTTCCACAGCCGTTGTGCTGCTGTGGCTGGTGGTACTGAGAGGAGATTGGGCCCCACTGAACTGCCTTATGGGGGTCATATCGACCTTTGTGTAATCAACCTCTTCTTCTTCCTCTGTGACTTCGGGGATTTGCAGACGGATACTCCTATCATGGCCATCTTCGCTCTGTCCTGGGCTGGGTGATGTCTCAGGTGTTGTGCCTACATCGGTCTGGGTTCCAGCATCCGTCATTTGACTCTTGACCGTTCGCGACGACATGTAGCTGTTGCGATTGCTCTTTGATACGAATGTATCTATACTCTGTCTGTTGAATTTGGAGTAGGCTGGGCTTGAAGGTGCGGGGTTGAAGTCAAATTGGCTGCTCGTAGGCCGCAATCGGGATCCTGCTTCCCTGATTTCTAAACCAGCCATCTCAAGGGCCAAAACACCAAACGGATCGGGATCATCTTGGTTGGGAATTCCAAAGGCCGTCCGGGGCGAGGCGGGGGTCGAAGACTTGGGTGTCGCTATCATGGCGTCTCCTGGTGCGCACTCGGCAGCGATCTTGTTGATTACGGAAGTATCATAGTCTGTCCTGCCCTCGGCCATCTTAATGACCTCTGAAAGCGGCCCAACTTCCTCCACATCGCGGGCAACATTGCCAGCCAGGATATCCATCTGCGTGACCTGGCTAGCATAGAAGCGCTCGTTCTCGTTTCCTCGCTCAGCCAGGATACAGCCATTCAAGTTGACGGCCTGGTTTTGACCCCGCGATTTCAAGTAGGTCAAAACGGTGTTACCCATATCCTGCCACTTGATGTGCGACTCATCTGAATCCAGAGACACCAGGGGACCGCTGGCTAGACCGACATCTTCGCCAAGTGTGACACGAGGTTTCGTGATTGACTCAAGAGCGGCAAGGTTGTTGACAACAAGAACGCAATCGTAAACGTCGACGCCAATTATGAAGCTGAGAGTGGGCGTATGTAACATAATTCCGGATGGGGGCGACCACGTTCCGTCAGATTTTCGAGCGATGAGAATACCGGAGCCGCCGGAACCTGTCATGTACAGACCGCTTCGCATACAAGTGAAGATGGCGATTCCGGCGGCATTTTGGATCACGCGCTTCGGGATTTTCTTGGTGACTCGTTTTGGGGATCGCGGTTCGCTTGCTGTCGAGTGTGAGTCCTCTTCCTCGTCTGCGGGAACGAGATAGCCATCGGCTGGGATTTCATGTTAGCACAAGGATCAATGCTGGCGGGAAAGTGAGACAAGCATACTGGAAAATGACTTGAGGATGCGGGCAGCCTTCTCGCATTCGAGGTCGAGCGTCGCAGGCCAGAAAGCTTCCCTTTGGACTCGGCCATTGGCGTTAGCTGCAGTGGTGTTTATCCTGGATAATGAATTGTGGTTTGCGACTGATATGGAGGCGCTGGAACGATTTGAGGACCAACCAAACAAGCCTGATCTTGTGTTGGAGGACCTCTTGTCCCATGAAGGGAGAAAGGCAGAGACTCGCTGCATGGCGGGCCTTCTTGCCTCTCCGTCGCCGCCGTCTTGGCCAGGCGGAGGGACGACAGAGAGGATGGGTATTAAGGGCGCGCTACTGTTATTGGTGTTTGAACTGGTAGAGATGCTTGTAGTTGCAGATCGAAAGTGGACGGTCCTCTTGGAACCTGATTTTGAAGTCGATACAGATACAGGAGTAGCGAATGTTGGCGTCGATCTCGAAGTTGGTGAGGTGGTAGACGAGGAAGGAGACGAGACCGGGGTGGTGGTAGCGGTTGTAGTAGGCGAGCCACAGGAGGAAGTTGGCGTAGTAGTTGTAGTAGAAGTAGAAGAAGAACAAGAGTCGGATGTTGTGGACGTGGATGAGGATACGGAAGAGACAGAATTGGAGTCGGAAAGAGGAACGACAGTGACGACTGGCTTGTTCAAGGCGGACTTATAGGCGACAATTGAAGCATGAGAAGGCGCTGAGTTTGTTTTGGCGTGCTGATGGAGGTGGTGATGGGAACGAAAGTAGTGCCCGTGTCCCTGGGACTGGGACTGGGACTGGGACTGTCCTTGGACGTGGGTGTTGTAATATGATTGTCCTTGAATTTGGCCGCCGCTTGGACCTGGGTCGGTGCTAGTATTAGCGGTTCCAGCACCGGTACAAGGCGCTGAAGGGGACCCCTGGAAGCAAAAATTGAGGTGTTAGCCAGGGATTATGGGAAGAGGTGACCTGTCAGCGCGGGTGGGTGGGTGACGTGGGCCTCTAAGCCATTAATTAGGAACTCCGTAGCAGGTCGTGTTCTTTTCATTTGCAGGGCCGGAGAAGAGAGTTCTATGGGAAGCAAGGATACGAGAGAGGGTAGCAGTATAGGATGGATGGGAAGGGATGGGATGATCCGCTTTGAACAAGCCTCCCCCGGGTGGTGGTCAAGATGAGACTCCGATCAAGAGAAGACAAAATTGAGTGTGAGTAAGATTCCAGGACAGGGCTTGTAAGAGTAAGAATGAGAAAGAGTGAGGAGTTGAATTGAAACTGTTATCCCATTTTTTGAGCTGTAGGAGAGTATTCTGTTTGCGTAGTACTATAATACTAACGCCTTCTCTCTCAAGTCGTTATTTTATTGGGCTGTTGTTTCAATTGCTTCCTCTCTCATTGCTCTCTCTAACGATTGAGTTCAAATTCAACCAGAAAAAAAACTCTCTTCAGGTGATTGCATATTTTTTTCCTTTCGCTCGCTCTCATCTCGTTTCAGGGGGGGGGTCGGTTGGCTGATGACGGCACCAACCGTCAGGGACTAAACTTAAGCAGGCCTAAAGCCTAAGCCCAAGCAAGTTCAGTGCAGCTTTGCCAGTTACAGTTTACGGTGCGTAACCTGGGTAAGGCAAAGAGAGGAGAGAAACGAGGGGGTCGGGAAGCGAGGCGAGTGGATGTACATACATGTACAGTGGAAGTGAAGAAACACGTGAATTTGAAGTAGGTTGGTATAGAGTGTAATAGAGAGATGGACTCACCAGATTCGAAGATGTGTTGGTTGAAGCTGTCTTTGTAGATCCCCATCGTACAAAACTCCATCCAGTTCCACTACCATTGCTGCGTCCATTCCCCTTCATGTTCTCCTTCTTGTTGCCTCCTCCGATGCTGCTGATACTCGGCTTCTTCTTTCGCGCCGTCATGAGGAGGGTCGGTTCGCTACTGTGCTGGCACTAAAACAAGGTACAGTACAATACAGTACAGAGAGCTACTAGCATCATCAATATAAATCAGCCCTGCGCATGCATTGCATCTGCATATGCGTTTGCCATGCCCGTGGTACAAGAGGTGAGCGTTAATCAGGCTGGTCAGCTCGTCCCAAAAGATGCATGCATGTGCATACAATCGACAAGGATCGTTGCCGCAGTTGATGTGAGGTGATGTGGAAGCAGCTATGAACATTGCTCCTGGAGGTTGGGAAGAGAGCCACTTAGCCCTATCAATATACACATGATCAAAGCCATAAAGGACCAAAAAAGGAAAGAGAATAAGAGAGACGACCAAGATAGGAAGAAAGAGAAAAGACTCGTACCTGTTTGAGCAACGTTGCCTTCGTGCTCCCAGCGTCGACTGTCATCGCCCGCCCGTCTATCTCGACCCTCTGTATGATATAGGTCGAAACACGCTTCCTCTAAAAGATCAATGAAATAATAATCAAATCGCACAAACAAAGACAAAGAAAATAAGATACGTCAATGACGAGATCTGAGAACAAGATCGTAAAGCAAAGAAGTTGACCGTTGGACGATTAGAAGAAAGGAAAGGAAAGGATGGATGAATACTGCGATTGCAACCTCAAAGTTCGAGATCAAGGGAGACGAAACGAGATAAAAAGAGGGAGGGAAAGTACTTGAAGGGTTTCCTGTGATTCTCCTTGAATCCTTCTTGTCGGCATCCATTCCATACAGCTCAAGTAATATACTGTATACCCCCTTCGTTCTATACCTAGGTACTAATAAAAGGTAGTCAAATGTTCAAGTTCATTACTAGATAGGTACGGTTTCACCTTTCACCCAAAAATATGGAATTTGTTGCGAGAGCGGGCCAATTCCCATGCCATGTCTTTCTTTTCTGTCAGTTTGTCTGTTTCTCTACGTCTTTCTGCCTCATCCTGTGCTGACTTGGACTTTCTTGTCCATCTTTGTCTCTCTTCTTTATTGGCCACGCGACCCCTGCCCACGAGCAAACCAATCCTGAGATGCGACTGTTGATATTGGCGGTTAGACATAAAAAGACTTGTGGATTCTCCATGTACTGTAACTGCATTCCTCCATGTCTCAGTATTGTTGTAATTATGTCCGAAACCACCCAAGCTCAATACAGTATATGCAACCGTCACATATCAGACGGACAGGCAAAGGCGACTAGTTAGTTGATCAGCCAGCCAATGGCTAACAGTCAAGCTACAGTTGACTCGAGCGAAAAGAAACGACTATAAAAAGAAAGGAAAAGAGAGAGAAACTCAAACGCCTAGCTAGTACCGTTGGTACTACACTACCGGTTCTGTCTCTGCGTGCCTGACTCAGGAATGTGGAAAAAAAAGTCTTCTCTCTTTTTTTTTGGTCGTTTTCCTACTAAGAAGCCTTGTCTAGCTTATTCAATTTAACACTGGTAGTCTTAGCCTTGTATGCTGGACGTTGATCCCCAGAATATCGTGCTGAATCGAGTCAAGGCCAGATGGGGAAAAATGGTCCTGATGATGATCAACCAACACTCGCAACTAGACGACGCATGGCAAAAGCGGGTCGATTAGTTTAACAGTATGTAGATTAGTTAGACTACCAAGTTATGAGAGATCCATTAACAATCCAACGGTCTTGGTCGGTCGGTCGGTATGTCACTCTTGCGATCTGTATCTCGTCGCTCATTCATTCTTGGTATGATACGAGCAATCAACCGTTTTATTTAGACAAAATTCGAAATAGATACTATCGTCAAGATACATATCATCTAATGCCACCAGTTTGTAGTATTCACCATAGCTTTGACATTGTAAACAAGGCACATCATTCATCCATCTGTAGTACCTAATTTGCCCGGCAGAAATACCGTAATATCCGAATATGCCTCCAAGTTAAATAAGTGGATCAAAGAAAAAGAAACTTCCGTGGTTCCTTGCAGCGACTAACTCAACCCAAACGCAGGGATCCCATGAATAGAAACTATATTTTACATGTCGCCGAGCGTTTTCTCAACGCTTTATTATCATTAAAATAAGCAACTCAGGAGTTGCAGAATTGCAACGTCATTAATGTTTCCTTTCTTTTGTTTCATTTCATAGGACAGAACGTTAAAGAATATGTCTCATAGTGCAAGATATTTGTACATAGAATCCATTGCTGCTGCAGGTCCTAATAACACTCTATGCTAGACATGCCATATATACTTTCTTTTTACAGAATCTTCGTTCTCCAGAGGGCTAGTAGGCGAGGCTTGCTAGTGATTAATTAACCAAGCTTCTCATTTGTTTCGTGCATGACCGTTTTATTAGGACAGCAATTCATTTAGTCGCCATGCATACGTATACGCATGTATCTAGTAGTGTGCACGACTTTCATGCAGCGGTCCGAAAGCTTTGTTGTCCTCGTTTTTGATAGGGACTCTATTCTGGGCATGCACCTGGAATATCTATCTTTTGATTTATTTGTACCCTCTGAACCACACCTCTTTAATTTTCTCACATTTCAAGAGTTTATTTACCAGCCTTGTTCTTCTTCTTCTTCTTCTTCTTCTTCTTCTTCTTCTTCTTCTTCTTCTTTTATCCCCTTTAAAGATTATAGTCTCACAGTTTCATGCAAGCCTTATGAACCATGTGTAACCAGCCTCGTTTTGCCTCGCATCGTTTCGCTTCGTCTCGCATTGCATTGCACTATGTCTGCATTTCTTTAACCCGAATTGTCTCTAGTTTTCGTCTCCTCTCCCTCTCTCTCTCTTCTCCCTAGAAATCCAGTCCGTACCACACCATTCCAGCGACCTCTCATGCCTCCTTTAAGGGAAAGGTTTTTGAAACAGGGCTTGCAGCACCCGTACTTGAACATAACTCTTGTCGAGTGCATTCAAGCAATTAGGTCCAACCAGCTCTCGGCCGTTTATTCTCTTTTCTTTCTGGTGCAAATATCATGGCTTTCTTCACGTAAATGTGATATATGAGCACCGTGGACAAATCAAGTATCCCGAAGCCTCCACCGCGGAGGTCATCCGAGGGTCTTTGAGACAAGTTCACTGTTTGAGACAAATTCAACTAAAAAAGCAAAATACGAACAGATTTGCCACTGTAACTTGCTATCCCTATCCGTACAGTAGTAGAGACACGGTCTTTTCGCATGACTATCCTTGGTCTGTCCCTGTTCTCTTTATTGTCTCGGAAGTCGTTGTACCCTTGGGTTTAGCGTCATGGGCGTTGCTGCCATGTATTGCTTGCACTGTAATGTAATCTGTATGCAAGATACTTGTAAGAATTCAGATTGCGATTGATTGACGTGCTCGCTGCATTCTCCAGGTTTAGCATTCATCAACTTGAAAATCATAGATTTGTCAATTATGATATCCTGTGTATTCCCTCCTGAGCCTCTTACTTCTATGTTATTTGTTAGACCGAGGGACTGGCCTCTCTTCCAACAAGACACAAGCTACTGCCAAGGCCGATACATCATCCATGCCTTCCGCCATAATCTAATAGTAGGTTCAATCGGATATCTTATGTTGTCAGAGTCAACTGAGCTGTGGCTTGTCCTTCTAGTATATAATCCGATGCCAAATTTCCGATGATGCTCTACAGAGTTCGAGGCAAAAAGGCAGCTATGAGTATGAACTTGACGGCAGATCAACAGGGCTACAGAACAGTCTGGTATAAGAAGCAAATTACTTATTAGACTGATAACTACAAAACGGTCTTCCCATATCAATCGCACGGTATTCCTACCTCCAACTTGTTCAAAATGCATGCAAACATCCCAGTAAAAGAATGAAGTCAAATAACACTGTAGTAGAGCTCCATCTCATGCCGTAGGTAATTCATCATATGCTCCATCTTGGCTGGGGATATTCTCCTCCCTCCAAGATATACTTCTCAAGTGGCTGGCTCATCTCACCCCAATTCCGAAGCAACTCCATTACATGTTTCATGTCCTCGCGCCAAAACATCTGATGCCAGCCCACGTTGTCACTAAACTTGCCAGTGATTTCTATTTCCTGTAGCACCTCCAGCCTGTCGCTCATAAGCCTGAACATCATGTCCCAGTCAAGCTCGGCCGGGTTGAAAGGGTCGCACCAGCCTCTCAAGGTCTGGAGTTTGACCACTTTGAGCGTCGAGCCGTGGTTCTTGATCAGACTAGCAAAGTTGACAAAGTTGAAGTGCAGGTAGGATAGGTCAAGTTTTTCGAGATGCTCCAGTCTTTTCGTGATGAAGAAGTCAAGGTCGGGAGCCGGGTTTTCTACCGCGTGCGTATGGACGCAGAGGTCTCGCAGGTTGGTTAGGAATGAAATAAAGTTGTCGAAGCGCTTTGGCCAGAGATGAGGCACGCTGTAGTTCAACTCGACGTGCAGTTGGGTCACCGACCCCAAGACTGTTGGGATGTTGGCCTCTAGGCCCGGCGGTATGCTGACATCCGTATGCATGAAGGGCTGTAAGGTCAGGCTCTTCATGGGAGTGTTGCGCTGAAGCAGAACCTCGAGGACGGATTGTTGTGTGTTGTATATCTCACCCTCAGCCAATTCTATAGACATTTCTGAGTTAAAAGTGTCCTCGATATCACGATGCCCTTCCCATGGGCACTCTGTCCATGTTAGGGACACAGTATCGAGATTTGGCAACCTCTTCAACGCAGGAATGACTAGGTCGAGCGGTAACTCGATTTCTCCTAAGAATAGATCTTGTGTTTCGCGATAAGGACCCCATCTGGCCTCAAGATCCGCATCATCAAGGGTATCTTCCATGGCGTTATCAACCTCTACCTCGTCCATGCGCGCCATATTGAACTTGACGGAGCGGATGCGTCTTGCGCAACTCGGTTCAAGCGACAGATTGTGCAGACGCTGGCCATCGGTTCTCCAAGGCACACCGTTGAAATGGGCCAATGCCAGCTGCGGTTTTGTGCATTCTGCAATTAGATGAGAAGATAGTCGAAAGTTTGTGAAATCTTCCAAGGGTAAAATGGCGGCAATCTTGTCTAAGAGCTCGACTGGCAACTGCTCAAGGCGGGGCTGAGATGATGACGCTGATACTCCATTGCCGGTTGCTGTCATTGTTATGGTTGGTCTGACAGAAGTTTTTGGTGTTTTCACAGTTCTTTACTTTAAGTAACGTCATATAAAGGAGAGGAAATCTTGCTATTAGTGATATTGAATGAAACTGCAAGACGCGAAGAGAGTAGAGCTGAGTTGAGTTGAGCGAATCAATGCCTCAAGCTTCTCAACTCAAGACCCGCTTAGCGACTGCCGACCCTACCACACGCTTAGAATCCTGTTCTGCCTCAACCTTCAATTAATTTTCATCCAGCTCGCATACCGAACGAATCCTGCACCATAAGTAAGTGGCATATCAACCATTTCTGTTATATTCAAAGCACTCAGTCTAAAGTCAGTCTTTGTAGGCCCGTCTAGCAAGGTCATGTAGACCGTCTCGTCCTCTAAACTTACTCACTTATTCGTCAATCATCATGCTCAAGTACGTACTCACTCATCTTTGTTCATCCAATATATATACCAGTATACTCACAAAACAACTCAGGGCTTACAAGAATCTCTCGTCCAAAACCCGGCTCGGCGTCGGTGTTGCAGTCATTGCATGGGGTGCTGCAGGACTCATGTTGACTGATCCACTGGAGAAGTCGCTCGGCTTGACACCAACAGAGGAGGACAAGGCTGAATTGGACAAATACACCCCAAAGATTGTTACTGTTGTGAAGGATGAGAAAGACGGCAAATGATTTAAAAGTCCATATATCAACCATACGGATCACTATCTCTCTCTTCACTTTGACAAATAATAAATTGACACAACATCGTTATTTCGATACTCACAAGTCACACACATCTGGCAAGGTACTTCACAAAAGGTGGCACAAATAGTATAGGCAAACATCATTAACCTGCTCCAAGCCATCAAGTCATGATGGTCTACCGGATGACCGCCATCCGGCTAGACCTCTCTCTCTATCTTGATCAAAGTCTAATATGCAGTTACAACTCCTCTTCCCGTCTAATTTTCGACAAATGCATTGCACAACAGTGCCGACCATGGATGCATGAGGTCAACCAGGTCTACCCTGAGATGATCATCACATCGGTGAGACCTAGTGACCCAGGAAACAAAGAAAATAAAGAGAACAAAATCAGAATGCAACGCAACGCCTCCAGATGCAGCCCCACCCCTAAAGTGCTTTTTTGTTTGTGTAAGAAAAAATCATACTGCCGTCCCATTGCCAAGTTCCGTCTTGACAGACGCAGTGCCAGCGTCTTCCACAACCTGTGGAAGAGGTTTGAAAAGTTTTGCCATCTCTAACGTGAGATCCATAGCTCCATACTGTTCGTCAATCTCTCCAACTGATCCTAATTCTTCTCCTCTGCTCGCGCCATCATTCATCACCCATGCCTTCACTGACTTCAACAATTGCATCACTTGTCCAAGGCGCGCGTCAGGAGTCAATCGAAGATCGGCCGCCTGTGTGTGCTTCAACAGATAGTTGCATAGCCAGTAAAAATGGATACCGTCTCTCGAAAACCCATGTCGCCGAGGATTACTGGATCCTGTGACAGCCGGTGGGAATTGATTGGCCATGTCCGCATCCCAGTTGCTCTTGAATTTGTTCAAGGCGATGGCAAGCGTCTGCAGACTTTGTGGGTCCACGTTGGCTGCCGCCCCCTCAACTGGAGTGCCCCGGCCGCTATTGCCGCCAGCTGCAGTCATCCAATCATTGGGAGGTGGTGTGTCAAATTTGGACAATTGAGCTGCATGGCCGTCGATCTGGGCCCGCCGGATCAGAGCTAAAATGCCGTGGATAAGGACAAATTTTCCATAAAGGTTTGTGCTTCCAGGTTGGATCTGATAAGATGGGTGCAAAAGGGTCTTGAGGGCCCAATCCATCTCCGGTTGCTTTGCTCGTTGAGTGCCGTATGGGTTCTTTTGCCGAGCGATATCTGGCCCGTGAAGACCAAGTGCCGAAGCACAGTCCTCAGCCTTATCAGCATCCCAGGCCACATCATCGCAAGGCAAAGGCAAGTGAAGTTCCATGACATCGAACAAAGGTTGAGAGTTGAAATAAAGCCCCATCACCACGTCCATCAAAAAGACACCAAACATCAAGCGACTACTGCGTTCCTGGTCAATCCAAGTGTCCCAGTTCCAGTGTTGGATACCAAAAGCATTGCGATCGAAATTGATTTGATGCATTGGAGACATGGTAGCAGGGTCACTAGATGGCAGGAAAAGACCCAGTCGGCGCACATTAGCAGCGAGGGCGGGGTAAATTTGTCGTGCGCGTTCCCGCTGCTGCGGGTTTCCGTTCCAAAGTAGCAGAATACATGTTAACAAGACAGCCTGTAGTTTTTCAATGTCAGCCCGGGATGCGTGTCCCGGTTGATTTGTCTGCAGTTCGGCATTAGACATCATCTTGCAATCGCGTTGAAGTGCGACAACAAGAAAGTCCATCATTTCGCGAACATTAGACGCCGTGACATTGTCTGAATAACAGGCGCCAATACAACACATGCCTGCAAGTAAGCCAGTATATGCCTCCATGACTTTGAAAGTAGAGACGTGAATGAAGGGCATGTGGATGTGAAAGTGAGTGTACTTGTCCAAGAAGTCCTTGACGTTGTCAGGCGAGAAATACAGGTTCATACCTGCGCTCGAGGGATCGATGGCTTGATTAGGAGGATAGAAGAAATTAAGAATCTGATCAGAAAGTAGGTTGTATGGAGGATGGTGAGAATGCATTCCCAAATTCGACAAAAGGGTATCGCTGGCGCTGGCGCCTGTCGTTCCGGGCCCGGAATTAGGTTCGGTTTTGATTCCGATCTGCGTCTGTCCAAGATTAGGATTGAAAGAGTTGTTGTTGTAGGTTTGATGCGCACCAGGCTGGAACATCTGAGACCAATCAAGGCCAGATGGAGGGTTTTGGTTTGAGCCACCGTACATGGGCATTCCGTTCTGAGCGGGAGGCATGCTGTAGCCAGTCATCTGCTGCTGGTTCATGTTGGGGTCAGCGCCATAGGGCTGAGAAGCACCCATGACCTGACCGTTCATGTTCCGTCTGTCAGCATTGTTACCGTTGTCGAGACGGCCGAGAGAGCTGGACCGAGAGAGTTGGCTCTGATCTTGAGCCATGTTGTTCATGCCGTCCGAGACTGGAACCATGCCAAAGGGATGAACCATGTTGTCACCGGGAAGGTTGCTCAGCCCATTGAGGTGGTTGAGATCACCCTCGTGCGCAAGACCTGCAGCCTTCTGAGCCTGTTGGTTCTTCTTGACGTGGGCCTGAGGATGCGACAAGTGGCTAGCTCCAGTGGGGTTGCCACGACGGATAGAGCACTTTTGGAAGTGACGCTTGAGGATATCACTTCGAGAGAAGGTATCGCGGCAAAGAACACACATGTATGGGCGATCACCGGTGTCTAGAGTCATGGTTAGTATCACGGTCAAACTCAACAAGTTGTTCTACTCACGTCGCAGAAGATGGCGCTTGAGATGCTTGGCATGGAGGTAAGTCTTGGTGCAGTGAGGGCACGGGAATTTGCCATCAGCGTCCTTCACGGGAATCACGGTGTTCTTGGTACCAGTACCAGCAGCAGGAGCAGCAGGTCGTCCAGGAGCGCTAGGGAGGATACCGCGGCGTCCCTGAGAGCCAACAACATGAGTAGGAGGCTCACCCTCGGGCATGACGGATTGAGGCTGCATAAGAGAAGCAGGGCCGTACGGAGAAGAGACACCAGGCTGAGTCATTAGACCACCAGGAGGCATAGGGCGCAACACAGGAGGACCGCGACCACCAGCAGGGGCTGGCGCGATAGGCTGAGGATGAGAGGCAGCAGTGGTCGCCTGGGGCATCATGGCAGCCGAGGTGCCATAGCCCTGGGGAGGAGGGTATTGGTTTGGCGCCATTGAGTAGAGACCAGCTCGGTTCTGAGGCTGCGATGTCTGCTGCTGCTGGTAGCTAGGCATGTTGGAAGCCGAACCAGGCGTGTTGGGAGTGCCTGGGGTTCGCGGTGTGTGAGGGTGGCTCCCGTACATGTTCTGCATCGTGGCGGATGTTGGGGGAGGCTGCAGCGGCGGAAGAGTCTGAGGAAGCGGCGAGCCGGTTTGCAGCTGGTTGGGGGAGATCGCGGTAGGTGAAGGATAAGTCTGACCAGAAGAAGTCGTGTTTATACCATTGGAGGGGTAGTGAGGACCGTCCATGCTACTATTGTTGAACGCGAAGCTCGTGACAATCGACGTGGTGTTGAAGATACCGCGACGGAAAAAAGTTGCCCGGGGTATAATGGACCTGGTCGGTGGATGACAAGTCCAAGTCGAGTGAGGATTTGCGGAGAAAGGAAGGAAGAGGGGTCCGAGGGAAGGTTTGCAAGACTTGAGAAGGCAAGCAAGATCAATCAAATACGATGCCTTGTAAAGCTCCGCAGAAGAAGTTTCCGGTGGTGGAGGATGAGGCTCGTGGCAGGTCCCTCTTTGAAGGTAGTGCTTTGGAAGAGGGTGCACAGAGTGGAGAACTGGGTCTCCAACCTTTTTAAGTATTATTTTTTTTTTCTTCTCGCGGTCTCCTCTTGACTGGCAAGCTGTCAGGGCAGTCTTAGAAAAAAAGGTGGGTAGCGCTGTTGTGGGTTCTGTCGGTGGGTGGGTGTGTAAAAGAAGAGGCGCGAGTGAAGGAGGGAAGAAAAAAGAAGTGGGTTGGTGCGGGTGTGGATTAAAAAGAGTGATGCAGTAGCAGCACTAAAGTTTTCCAGAGTTTGTGTTTTTTTCTTCTCTTTGGTTTTGCTTAGTGTGCAAACTCAGGAAAGAGGCGAATAAAGGTAAAGAAAATCAAGGACGGCAGGGTGAGCTGCGGAACTGATGAAATGCCTTGTTCGACACAGTACGTATATTGTAACTGATACTCGCGAGCTCCTGTCGCAATTGGCACGCCTTGAGCAAGTCGCAAAAGCAGGACCTGGTAAAGACAGAAAGACAGAGAGAGGTGGGAAGTGGATATCGTTGGTAAGGGAAGTGGGCCCACAACGAAGCAAAGGAACCACAATCAGAATAGCTGGCGGCTGGGATCTGGAGCAAAGGGCAAAAAAAATAGCCCAGAAGGGTCGCGGGTCGCGCTCGTGTTTGATGGGGCCAGGCGCCAGACGCGCAGAGCGTTAGAGATATCGCGTAAGTCAAGATAGAGTTGTGAAAGTAATTCTGGACGCAGAATCACAAAAATGCCAAGGGAAATTCAGTGATGTTACGAAGAAAGAAGAGAGGGTTTGTGTGAGGAAAAGTTTTTTCTTGGGAGAATGAGGAAAGATGGAAGGCGAGAGAACAAGAGGAAAGAAGGAAACTGCTGAGAAATTCACAGGCAGGTGCATGTACCTGCTACCTCTGATCACCTACGAGCGCTGGAATCAGTGGAAGCGCGGGTGCCTACGTCCAAGTTACAGGCGGGAAAAGAGAGAGCGACGCAGTGATCGGAGTAAACGCGGAGGTATCAGTTACCGAGGTAAGTGCCAAGCAAGGAAGACGCTTCGACTGGACGCCAGATGTTTGCAGTGTGTAATTTGTTCCTCTTCGAGTTTGGATGATTCGAATTTTTCTTCGTTTTACTCATTGCACGCCCCTCGTTCCCTCCTAATCTAAATCAAATCGGGTCTACGGCGAGGTTTCTGGCCTGTTCGACTTGGATGTTAGCGCAACTACTATGCCATTGCCGCTCTAAGCCGTCAGAATTGGGGTTCGATAATCCAATTCACTTGCCAACACTTTGCGGTGAAATATACTTGCTGGTCACTTACCGACTACCGCCATGTCAGTTCAAAGCCAGGTACCCTCGTCGTGTCCACTCTTGTTCGATAGAGACATATGTCGCTAGTCATTCAACGAAGACAAACACCTTGGACAAGACTCAGGCAACGGTTATGTGGTCGGATGGTAACATTACAAGAAGAATACATACAGATCCTATCGTGCCTGTGTGTGCATTCACTTTGCCAGTCATCAGGGTAGAAAAGTCTGCTGCTTGGGTCACTTCCTGAAGGCGATTGTACTATGCAATAACAGTACATCTATCATAGTACGAACCGACGCCAAACCAATTCTGGATTTTCGAAGGAAAAATGCACCAGGTGAGGCGCAAACCTGACATGCAAGCCTCGAAACCTTTCAGCGCCTGTGTATGTAGAGAGGTTTCGCCGTACTATTGAGAAAATTGCGCCGGCCTCACCGTCCGACATCGCCACAAGCATTAGGTGGTCTGAAGTTTGCCTCATCCTACATAAAGACCTTGGGACAGCCATAGAACCGTGCTACCATCTCAGCTAGCATCACTATTATAATACTCCCACTTCTTCTCATGACAAGCTTTACTTGTCACAAAAATACCTGGAGGGCTAGGGTCTTGACGGCATTTGCAACGATGCTACTTGTTTCGCGATCCTGAACACCGACAGGGAAATGCTGATATCAAAAATCAGATCCAGGATGACCTATGCACGACGCGTCCAAAAACTTCAGAAATGGTGCTGTCTACTGGCATTCGCACGGCCGATACTGTACACACGATAGGTCGAAAAGGCAACTTGTTCGCAGGTGGTGGGGCGTCTACAGGGATACCGGAGGTTGGGTGTTTTGGTAACGGGTACGCATTGTTTTGCGAGCTGGCAATATCGTGCGCCTGCTTGCTGCTTGTACAAGGGACTTGACACTAGTCTTTCGACTCCCGGTGTCGTAGCCGGCCTGTACTGTACACACCCAAGGTCACGATGCTTCACGCCATACCAAGTCCTCACCGCATTACCTCATACACGACTCGGACACCGAGTTCGCGCCGGGATTCGTTGACCTGACGCAGCGTTTTCTCATTTTAATGAATTTTCCCTGCGTTTTGTTTGATCTTGTGAGCAAATGAATTTACTAGTTCTGGCACTACGGTGTTAGATGGACAGATTTTTTAATTTTTTTTTTCGCGAACGGATATACACGCCTCTATCCGTTCAGTTAACCGTCCATTTGAAATGACTTTTATAAGGCAGAGAAGGCTTACCACCGAGGAGGTGAATTTCAAACTAAAACTGATTGGTCCACCAATTGAGCAAACAATAACTTATATTGCATTTGTAACACATTTCGGTTCAGGAACGCAGTCATAGTTGACCCCTGATAGTTAAGGCCGTTTATACTGAATGAGATGTCTGATTATGGTTTCTTTTTTTTTCAAGGCTGCATCCTATCAGGCTTTTTCTCTGCCATATTTAAAAAGAACTCTCTATTAAAAACACTACACCTTTCAAAGTATGTATTGTGCTGTCAGAAAGGTATTTTGCACTCAAACTTTCAGGGGAGAGCTACGAGAGGTTGGGCAATGACTACTAGTCAACCATGCCTTACTAAAGCAGCTAGATGGTGTATTAGCCAGATGTCTTAGAAGTTAAGAAAGGAATGATTCTGCTTTCCAATAAGCCAATGCCACAACACCAGGAAGTTCGCTTTGAAAATATCACGAACCTCCGACTTGCAGGAGGTAGTGGTTAATAATACCAAGTCAACCACGAGTTCCAATGGGACACATTCTGTCTTGTGACTCGAGAAGCCAGGATTATGAGATGATATGCAGGATCCACGAGTCAAGCGAAAACACAACCCAGGATGGGCGGACAAGGGTCCGAAATAACGCTGCTACGTATGACATCCATCTGAACGCAACTTGGACAGCGCTTGACAACTATGAGTGCATATGCGCTGGAAATGTCATTAATACCCGGTGTTTTCATGAAACATGGCTCAATCAAAAGCAAAAGAAAGGAGGGATTCGAGTTGAGGAGAAAATGACAATGGATGGTCCAACGGATATTGCAGTTCCTACAGAATGTTGCCAAGGCCGTCGAAAAGAGTAAAGTGGGGACGAAAAGGATAGAAGACAAGGAGAATTCGCCGAATACAAGGTACTCCCGGGACATGGACATAATGGTCCGTCCAAGGGAAAGGGAATCCGTCGGAACCACCTGGTTTAATCAAAGCCGGTCATCGGCACTTAGGAAACTCTTGGCTTAGTAGGCGCTCTGTTGTTGTATATTTGCAGCCATTTACCCTGGAAACAAGCTGGTAATTCATGTTGGCAATATTTTAACAACAAGCACATCTCTGGCTGTTGCAGGGTCCTTGATCCCATTGTTAACGCCAACCGTTCATGGCTCCCGCAAGCACAGCGGGTGTTCCCACCAAAGCAGATCTCAGTGGAGCATGGTCCCTTGAGAACCCCTCACCTTCCCGCCATTGCATCTGCTGAAGGACGAGGGTGGCCTGGGTGGGAAGTCAAAGGCTTCGATTCTCGCTCCAGAAGGTTGTGGTGGAGTCCTTCCCGTGAGGAGGCTGGCTCCATAGTTGGAGAAAGCATCGTCTTTTTTGAGCCGCTGAAGCTCGTCTATCAAAAACATCAGATTACATTGCAGCAACGAACGGCTTTTTGGTCACGGGGTCATGTTGAGAATATTGTTCACGGTGAAATCTGCTAAACACCTGACCTGACTGCAAAAATACGGTTGCCTAGAAACCCGAACCCGAACCCCTTCCGTGATCGGACGATGACCAGCCAACTCGAAACAAAGAAGGGACTTTGGATACGGCCATAGGGGGGCGGGAACACCGAGATACCAGCATCATTCCCGGAAGCAATAACAACTGGAAAGCCGTGGAGCTAACTTGGTAAGGCATGGAGGTATCTCAACCCCCGTGTCGTCCCCTTGAGAGTTGAGAAGCTAAAGACAATCTACCCCACCCCTTGCTCGGTGGCGTCGCGTTTCGGGTCATTGAGTCGTGCGAATATTACGCATGTGTGAGATGTAGAAGAAGCAATGACAGGTGGCACGCACAACTGCCAGGCTGTGATTCAACAGGCAAAATACCGTTGTTGTTATCAATCTTGTCGTGTTCGTAGTTGACAACGCGATGTTCATTTCGACCCGGGCTTCGAGTGAGGATTGCGCAGCAAACTTATCACCCGTGCATGGTTTTCTACCTGAGTGACACTCAACAGGGTATGCAAACTTTGATTCCAGATCCGGAATGCGCAAGATGACCTGAGTCTCACACAATGTTTGCACAAGACTCCGGAACTGCGATGACGTTGATTTCGTTGTTTTTTTCGTTTTGTTTTTTCCGAGACTTCACCGACTCGAATCAGATAACAGAACAGCTACCTAGGTATGTACCTACTTTTGTGTACATACCGCTGTTTTACTCTAGAGACATACCTCCCAGTCACATCGTTGGATGCTAATGTTTCCATTTAGATATTGTTGACTTGGTTTCAATTGCTTATCGACTTGTTCATGTACACGCATCAACAACAACGTCTTGTGGCTTCAAAGGCTTCAACCTTTTGGAAACTGCCAAAGGTACATACCTACACAGGTACATACTGTATTGTGGTCACCCCTGCATACTCCGCTGACAAATGGCGTAGTCAGGGCATTCGCACAATTTAGGCATTTTTGTCCGTGTTCAAACAGGCTTGACCGGGTGCCGCCGGCAGAAAGCTAAGATGTCATTACTCGGCCTACCAGGACTCGCTAGTGAAATAATTACTATCCTCGCCCTTCTCATCTTGCTCAAACAAACAAGTCCGCGCCAGGCAACCTTGGTGGCAAGCCCCTGTTCGGACTGTCGGAACTGCTCTATTGGGGTATCCGGCATAATCACAGTGGCCAAGAAATCACTACTGGGGTATGATACTGGCTGGTACTTTGAACTCCTGAAGAACGAGAGACAATTCTTGAGTAAGCCTTGCCTTCGAAACAACCGCTCGGGTTCATTGTGGTTACAGTGTCGCCTCCTAAACACATAGATACAAACATACAGAGTATGCTTTGATGCACCACACCAAAGAGCCATGTTCGGCAATCGTTGGAGAAGCGGGCCTGGTGGAGAGGCACGAAACTGCCGTTGGTGCTGTGGAAAGCATGTTGAGCCTCAACGCACCAAGCTTCTTCTACTGGGTCCCTTCCCGCACCTTGAAGACCCGTTAGAACCACATTGCTCTGGGCGCGCGATGGTGGGAAGACGCACGTCGTGATGGCTTCATCCCAACGCCACGCATCAGTAGAAGAGATGGGAAACCTTGTACATGCAGTCAATTCTGTTTTGAATAACTCTCTGTACCCGGGTAGGCACCCAACAATTTTGATTCGAGTGCAATCATTGGTTGCATGTGTTGATCTTGACTGGTGAAGGATGCACTTTTTTACCACCAGACTGCACGACCATGCTATACTGTGTCTGCACGAGTCATTAATGTCTAGTCTCGGAGTTTCCAAACTGTTGACATCGTGATGAGCATGAAACAGCTCACAATATCCCTCACAACAGTACATACAGGTTAGGATTGTTCAGGCCAAACTAGTGATAAGCTATCAAAAACAGTTTTTCGAGTGAGTGCGGAATTGACAAAAGTGCGTTGCCTCAGCGCTTATCAAACCCTTTTTGGAAAGAATATGGCCAATTGAGGGGAGTCGAGCATAATAGTAAAGTTAAGCACCTAAACGGCGTCCCAACCACATGATAGTCATTTACGTCACAAACCTTGTCTGCATCCAACAGAGAAACACTGTACTTTTCACATCACAATCACCACCACTATCACCACTATCACCTGTGCAGTTTACGACGAGTGATGGTGCGGAACTTTACCGGATAGGCGTGGCCGGCTGTTGATGGTGTCCGCTCCCACGAGGCACCCCACCAACACTTGGTTATTCCTAGTCAGTGTCTTTACAATACAGCCAGTTTTTAGTGCAAACCGCCATCAAAGACGGATCGCTTTAGGATTGTTGTACTGTGCGCTCACTGTGAAGAAAGTAATTTTGCATTGTTGAATCTGGTATCTGTATGAGATCGTGTGTGGCAGGAAACTGGTGAGGTGGCTTTGATACACTGGAAATTCAATCAATCATTGAAAAGCAGTTCCTTCATTGGCAAAGCCTCTCTGAACACCACAGTTCTCACTATGAAGGAGACAATCTACAAAATCCCGGGTGTACCCAGTACGAGAAGGATCTGCCTACGATGTTCTCATCTGTCAACGAGCATGACGATACAAAAGGTGCCGGATCTCGTGAATTACGGCTTACAAGCTGCAGCTTGCATGTTATAGGCTGCAGAACGAACGGAACGGAGGATGCCGCGGCAGTGTAATATTTTATCCAGCTCCACGGGAAGGGGGAAAATAACGACTGACCGACTTCAAAATTGGTCAACACTGTGAAGTGTCAACTGTCTCGCGACAATTACGGCAGATCATCCCTTGTTAGGCGCCTGGTTGTGCGCGGTGAAGCAGCCAGGGTTGCAATTCGCAATCACCACCCCCGAAAGCTCTTCTGACTTGCATGGTCTTTCTAGCTTGTCCAGCATGACCTCAATCCCTGAATCAGTCATTATGAATTACGAAAGACAGCCGACATTCAAGGATTACCGTATGGACCCCCACGCTGCCGAGACACGACTGCAACCCCTTCCTGTCTTTGGTAAAGTACAGTCTTGAGTGCATCGTATCCGAGGTGCTGTCAACCGAACAACACCTGTTGGCTGAGTGAGGTGTTTCTTGCGAAGTGAACGAGAAGCTTCCTGGGAGATGCATGTGTGCGTGTCCTTGCAGGAACGCCTGGGACTTGCACACGTGTAATGCCTAAAACGCACCAAACAATGCTGTCGCAGTTTGGCCGAGTGAGTTATGCCGGGTGCAGATCTGACTACCCTGAAGGTAACATCATGAACGCATAGAGCTCATGCTGGCTTGTTCCAAACAATGGTCGTGGTATAGGGTGGTTTCAATGCACTCAGTTCTAACTTGCTAGTTACGTGGTACGCCTCACCTCGCTGTTAGTCAATATGTTTTCAATGGTGCTAGCATTACGCATTGTGCAGGAAACATATTGTTTTAGTTATTTATCTGCACGTGCGTGATATCAGTGACTCGTTGTTATAGCGGTGGGTGCTTGAGATTCCAAACATGTAGTGTTGTGGTAGTATGGAAAGAACCATGATTTAAGCATATTTTACCAACGATCTTCAACCGTGGAGCCTATAATGATAGCATGGAAACTTCAGGCTATGCTCCCTGATGATGGATCTGTCCCCCGCAACCAGATTGTGGCTCTTTTGGTTGTCCTAGTCAGGAACTGGTAACAACAGCGTTCTTCTAGAAGATGGTGATGAAATGGGGCATCTGGAGAATTCCCCCGCATCATCCACCCCATAACTTCATGTACTTTGTACCAAACCATCCGTGCTGCAAGTGCCGCTTCTCGAACCCACCGTTGAGATCCATCTCTTGGTAAGGCTCGGTGAAGCTCCAGGTGAGACCAGGTAAGGCAGGATGTGGATGCTGAAGGTGTACACGTGACTGTTTGGGTATCGGCGGAATGTACCGCCGGCACCGAAGCTCTGTGAGCTACGGCATCCCAAAATTTGCCAATGAGTGGGATGAATTGAATAGCGAATAGCCTCGTCCGACCCCCACGACAGGCAATATATTCGCAATGGCATCTCCCAGTACGATACGGCCGTTAGCCGGCCGAATTGCTCAGACCTCTTCAACAAGGCTCTCGTCCGCCGTTCCTCGAGCTGCTCGCTTCTCCACGACCGCACCACAATGCAAGCGCAAAACAAAGGATAATAACCCGAAGCGAGGTGTCAGTAGCTTGTACGGTTCCGGACCTCGCGAGCCTTTGTCCATGTCAAACATTCCCCTACCGAAGCCCCGTGACTTCAAGCCCAAGATCGAGGTTGACCCCAACCATGGCCTATGGGGATTCTTCCCAGGACAAGGCAAGCTACTCGCAACGCCCAAGGAAACTGAGGAGCATGGACGTGCGTGGACTGTCGAGGAATTGAGAAAGAAGTCATGGGAGGATCTGCATGCACTGTGGTGGGTATGCTGTAAAGAGAGAAACATGCTTTCTACATCAAGAGCAGAGCTCCTCCGAACCAAGATCGGATTCGGCGAGCGAGAAATCGATAGTCGAGACGAGGAGGTATGATACAACCGCAAAACTGGTTATTGCATGGGAGTAAATACTGATTCAAGGAACCAGGTTATGAAGACACAGCGAGCCATCAAGCATGTATTGACGGAGCGATACTACACTTGGCAAGATGCCGTCGACGTCGCCATGAACGACCCAGAGATCAACTTTGAAAGCAGCGACGGACAGGCCTACACACCATCGGCATATGAGGATGAAACCAATGTTGCCGAGTGGACACAACCAGAGTCAGAGTCAGAGGCAGCCAAGCAGATCGATCCTGCTGCAACAGAGGCACAGGAGGCCAAGATCGAGAAGGAGCTGAAGAAATAATAAGAAACTACCACATGCGACGATGTTATGTACTATTTGTGTGAGGAGAGTGAGAAGGTAGTTTTAACGATGCTCGATAGAGAGAACGGGTGGCCTTTTCGTCGTGTACATCTAGGATATGTAAGATACTGTTGACAAAGCAAAAATGTATACGGAAGCATATGAACTCTCAACGATGACTTTCTACGTTAATCTGAATTGGTAACAGAAATGCCAACCTTCAAGCTTAGGGTTTGAGCTAAGTAGCATAAACTGACATAGTAATTTCGTCTCTTTTACTTCTAGCGACCAACGTTTCTTAAAACCCGAGACCTACGTCGACCTGGAACTTGACTGGCTGTTGGTTGTAACGTGTGATCAATATCGACATTGAAATATAGAAAATTTCAGACATGAGACGTTTAGCCTTACACGTCACTACCTGTAATGAATGAGTTTTGTTACCATGTAAGTCAGCTCCTTGTCACATTACGAAAGGGGGCTCGCTCCACAGCAAACAATCTGGAAGGAAAGGAGAAGAAGCGGCAGAAGGACCCTGTACGCTGGGCTAATAATATAGTCCCAATTACACGATAATGATACTGGGGTCATTGCTGGGTCTCTTATATTGAGCCGACTGCTAAGCTAAATTTGACCTTGGACAGTCGATCAGATCAAGCGAGGAGGAGGAAATATAGGGGTCAGGGACGGCAGATGATGAGCGTACAGTAGCCACAAAAATATGCTTGTTTGTTCACGATAGTGTAATTTAGCCTCTATAGACGAGATAATGTGAGATTAGATAGTCATGAATTGGGTAAGAGGCTGTATTTGGAGGCGTTATCCGTATTTTACTTGAGGTTCGGTGAGCGAGTGCCAAAATGTTAGTCTCCACACTGGACATGGACTTAACTTAACTTACTGTAGCTGGACCCCGCCACCGCAACTGCATCACCTCGAGCTTCCCATCCCATCCATTTATCCTATTCCGCTTCTTTCCTTCCATTCCCTCTACCTAAAACTTCATCGATTATCAACACCACAGATTAGCCATCATGGATGAGATTGCCCCCGAATATGACGTTGTCGTGCTGGGTACTGGTATGTCTTTTCTCCCCCGCCGCTTTCTGCCAGCAGTTCGGATCCCCGCATCAGAAAGCTTCCACTCGATGCTGGCAGTTGCAGTCTAGATCTTGTGTCATGATGCCTAATACTGACGATTTTTAGGTTTGACCGAGTGTATTCTTTCTGGGTAAGACATTTGACGTCTAATTCCGTTCATCCTTGACCGCTCTGTCCTGTCGCAAACATGTTCCAGACTGGCGCAAGCTGCTAGGCGGTGATGCTTGATATAAAGGCGGTCGGCTGATGGTGCTTCAACAGTGTTCTGAGTGTCAAGGGCAAGAAGGTCCTACACATCGACCGAAACGACCACTATGGCGGGTAAGTAAATACCATTACTCTTCAAACCACCAAAAAACTAATCGTTCTCCAGAGAGGCCGCTTCCGTGAACCTTGAGACTGTACGCAACTCCTACTCAGATCTGAAACCGACCTGCTCCCCCTGAACCGAACCAACATTTCTAACATTGACTGCAGCTCTTCAAGAAGTACGGAAACTTCCGTGAGGGCGAGGAGCCCTGGAAGCAATATGGCCGCCTCAACGACTGGAACATCGACCTCGTTCCTAAGTTCCTTATGTCCTCGGGCGAGTTGACCAATATTCTCGTCTCTACCGATGTTACACGATACCTCGAGTTCAAGCAAGTCGCCGGCAGTTACGTCCAGCAGGGTGCCTCCAACAAGGCCACCGTCGCCAAGGTTCCCTCTGATGCTGCTGAGGCCCTGCGATCCCCCCTTATGGGACTCTTCGAGAAGCGACGCATGAAGTCCTTCATCGAGTGGGTTGGCAGCTTCGACCCCAAGGATCCCAGCACACACAAGGGTTAGTATTCCGAATATGACAGCAAGGAAGACTTGTGAAACAGACATGGACAATTCGCTAACTCGTGCTCTTTTACTTAGGCCTTGACATGAACAACTGCACAATGAAGGACGTCTATGACAAGTTCGGCCTCGAGACAACCACAAAGGACTTCATCGGCCACGCCATGGCTCTCTACCTCACTGACGACTACATTACCACCCCGGGCCAGGCTCCTGAGGCTATTGAGCGCATTCGCCTCTACGGAAACTCTGTTGCTCGATACGGAAAGTCTCCTTACATCTACCCTCTCTACGGTCTTGGCGAGCTTCCCCAGGGTTTTGCCCGCCTGTCTGCCATCTACGGTGGCACTTACATGCTCAACACCAACATCGACGAGGTTCAGTACGATGGTGACAAGGCTGTTGGCATCAAGGCCACTATGACTGGCGTCGAAGAGATGAAGTTTGAGACTAAGGCCAAGATGATCCTCGGTGACCCCTCCTACTTCCCCAACAAGGCCAAGGTTATTGGCCACGTTCTCCGAGCTATCTGCATCCTGAAGCACCCTCTTGCTGGCACGAATGATGCCGACTCCGCCCAGCTTATCATTCCCCAATCTCAAGTTGGCCGAAAGAACGGTAAATACCACCAGTCTACGTTGAATTTGCCCACTGATTAACGATTCCAGACATCTACATCGCCTGCGTTTCTTCCGCTCATAACGTCTGCCCCAAGGGCTACTGGATCGCTATCGTCTCAACCATTGCTGAGACCACAGCCAACCACCACGTCGAGCTCCAGGCTGGTCTAGACCGCATCGGCAAGATTGAGGAGCAGTTCATGGTACGACCCTCTGGCTGACGAAAACAAACTAAACAATGAATGCTGACACGTTACAGGGCCCTCCTATCCCCATCTACGAGCCTCTTGAGGATGGTTCCAAGGACAACATCTTCATCTCCAAGAGCTACGATGCTACTAGCCACTTCGAGACAACCACAGACGACGTCAAGGATATCTACCGCCGCGCCACTGGCGAGGAGCTTAAGGTAGAGGGTTTGAGGGAAGGTATCCAGGTTGCTGAGGAGCAGTAAAAGTCTCACGACCAGTAAACAGGATAAAGAGGAATAAGGTCACACCACTGCAGCAGAGCCAGTAGGGTCGGAGGATTGTTTTGATATTTTTGATTGACCAATTGTTACCGTTCTGTCCAGAACAGTGGCCTAAAGGATGGTGCGTCTTGGGCACAATCTCATTATACCTCTTTCGATAGCATCTCACACGAACACTCAAATGAATATCGTTGAATCTGTATCCTGATGATGAGAACATCAAGTTTGGTTGAGACCTTTGAAATTTCATAAATCATGATCTGTTAAAAAGAAAGAAAAAAGTTGGCAGCCCCTTTCTAGTACTTTTCAAGAAGGCGCCGTGATATCTACTATCTAGCTCAACTCGGACAGAGATTCTCCAAGCAACGAACGCGACACCACGTAAAGTTTGTTGTTCTTTGTCAAGCATGTACGTACGTACGCACGCACGCAGCGACGGAACCACAGTTCATTTTTCCCATGCGCCCTAACTCCCTGGCAAACCGAACAGCCCGCGAACCCGCAAAATTATGCCGGAAAAGAGACAAAGACAACCAAGTATGGAAGAAAGGGAAGCCCAGTGTTGGCTCTCTACCTGTGGTTTGTCTTGCCAATGCCACGCTTGCCAACGACCTGGAACATATTGTGTTAGTTACGGTTTTGGCATGGAAAGAGGCTAGTGTGTGTAAACTTACCAAGTGCTTGGTGATGGATGCAGTTGTGTGTCGATCTCCTTCTCCCTGTCGGGCCATGCGGTTCATGCGCTTCTGGTTGAGCTTGGCAATGCGGTCGGCCTTGGATCGGAGAACCTCGTCTGGGACACCGTCGTCGCGACGGCTGGCTGTAGGAGCACGGCTAGCGGGTCGGCTCATAGAACGCATGCGCTCGCGGGGAGTGCTGGTGTGTCCGTCGACGTCCATGGAGTCGGGGTCGGCGGTGCCCATGCGAGACCTGGAGCGGGCGCGGCCTCGGGACCTCTCGCGAGCACGGTCGGCAATATCGGTGGTGTCGACACCGAGCTGGTCGAGGGCATCCTCGAACTCGGAAAGAGGCTTCTTCATGGACTTGCGGGGGATGATAGCCTGGTTCTTGAGGCGCTTCTTCATACGGGCCTCGTTGCGGATGAGCTGCTGCTTCTCGCGGATCAGCTCAGCCTTGCGCAGAACCTCGGCCTCCTCGTCATCCTCAATATCTTCATCAGACTCATAGAAGCCCTCAGCCTCGAGCTTCTCCTCCTCTTCCTCGAGAGCCTGAAGCTTGGCCTCGATATCCGGATCTATGAAATCGTAGACGTTCTTTCCGTCGTAAATCTCGGGAATCTTGTCGTACTTCCACTCAGGGTTGGCGAGCATGTAGTCGGCCTTCATATCAACGTTGAACACACCAGCACCACCGTTCTCATCCTGCTCATCCCTGGCGGTTCTCCGTCTTTCAGGATCTTCCTTATCGTACTTCTTGCGGTCCTTAATACCCTCGGGAATGAACGTCTCGAGAGTCTGGCCACCCATGGGCTGCGCGACGTGAATACGAGACATGACATCGGCCAGACGGCCACCAATGGCGCCGCTGGTGTTGGTACCAGCCTTGAGCTTTTGGTTGACACGCTCGGCGATCAAGCGCTCGCAAGCAGCGTTCTTGACCTCCTGGACACCCTCCTGGGTGTTGCAAGATAATTGAAGGAGCTCGACCTCACCAGACTTGAGGATTCCCTGGAGCTCTTCCTGAACTGAAGGCTCGAGGTCCTCAGGTCGGGTAACGTCAATCTTGTTAATGACAACAAAGACAAGCTTGTTGGAGAAGAGAGGCTTGATGCTCTTGAAGAGAGCAATCTGGGCGCTAACGGTGTAGCCACACTGCTCGGAAAGATCCATAAAGTAAAGAATTGCAGAACGGAGATGCGCAATCGCTGTAATACTCTGCATCTCAATGGTGTTCATCTCCTCAAGAGGGTGGTCCAGAATACCGGGGGTATCGATGGCCTGGAAGCGGAGGTACTTGTAGTCGAAGTGACCGACAAACAGACTCTTTGTGGTGAAAGCATAAGGCTGGACATCAACATCGGCGCGAGTAATGCTCTTGAGGAAACTGGACTTTCCAACGTTGGGGTAACCGCAAATAAGCAGTGTTCGGGTGTTGGGGTCGATCGCAGGCAGACGACCGAGATGCTGGCGGACCTGGTCGAGGTACATGAGGGGATCCTTGAGTCGCTTAATGAGAGTGGCCATGCGACCAAGGGCAGCCTTCTTGAGCTGCTTGCACTGGAACAGCGACTGGCCGTACTTGAGAAGACGAACATAATCGCGGGAGATGGTCTCGATCAAGTGCTTGGCAGTCGACATCTGACCGAGGGCGATTCTGAAATGGTCGGCATCGTAGAGTGTGTTGAGAAGATCCTTGTGGAACGGGTGGATGTCCTGAAGACGAGGGAAACTCTCAAGGATGGCGCCAAACTTCTCAGAAAAGGTCTCCTGGGTGAACTTGACCTTTCGAGTGTAGAAGCCTGCAGAGAGCGGATATGTTAGTGATCTATTGCGGGTGTGGTTATGGGTGGTGATGGAAACATACCTCGAATACGGCTGATTTTGAAACCGGCTCGAATTTGGGTCGGAAGTTTGCGCTGAGTTCTGCTCAGAACGATATCGAGAAACTCCTGCTGAGTAGGGACCGGCGGGATGTCTTTCCAGGTCGTCTTCATCTTGGGCGATCTGGTTGTTTTGGATATGGAATTGTCCTGGGGATTTTTTCCACAAGGAAAGAAAAAAAAATTGAGGCAGACGGAGGAGAAGGTCGCTCGTCGTTCGAAGAGGTGGTATCAGAGATGGCAAAATTCAGTTGGACAAATATTTTTTTTCTGGTGGGTCATGGCGGTCAGTCTTATCGATAAAAGAAGTCACTTTTTGTGTGGAGGAAATTTCGGTTCGTGAAGATTTAGAGGTGATATTTGAGACTTGATAATTGATAGATTGAGGAATAATTAATGAATACTCGAGAGACGGTGTCATCGTACAGACTCATAAAAGTCAATCATTTACAGTCAATATAAACACTTGAATTTAACTGCTGAACATCTCATCATTTCAGAGTCTTCTTAAATGGTACTTTTTATCTGGATCTCACCCCCCCACCTCAACCCCGCTGTCATACATTGAGCCATAGAAGGGTCCAAGGCCAAAGCCAAGTCCGGCTCCGGCTCAACACCACTGACTGATTTGATCTACAGGAGGGGATCGCAAACTTTGCTTGAGAAATATTCATCTCGTCTAAACAACCACTTTTGGTCTTGATCAATAAGTAACCATGTCTCAACTCGCTCCCTACAAGCAAGAATTCTTGCAGGCCGCCATCGCTGGTGAGATCCTCAAGTTCGGCAGCTTCGAGCTCAAGTCAAAGCGCATCTCGCCTTACTTCTTCAACGCCGGCCTCTTTCACACTGCCCGTCTTGCCGGCGCTATCGCTACTGCCTTTGCCAACTCTATCTCTGAGGCCCAGAAGGAGAACGGTCTTGATTTCGACATCATCTTTGGCCCTGCTTACAAGGGAATTCCTTTGGCTTCTTCCATCGCTGTTAAGCTGGGCGAGATTGCCCCCGAAACCCTTGACAGTGTGTCTTACTCCTTTGATCGCAAGGAGGCTAAGGACCACGGTGAGGGAGGCAACATTGTTGGCGCACCTCTCAAGGGCAAGAAGATTCTTATCGTCGACGATGTCATCACTGCTGGTACCGCTAAGCGAGAGGCTATCGACAAGATCCGAAAGGAGGGTGGTATCGTTGTTGGCATCGTCGTTGCTCTCGACCGCATGGAGAAGCTCCCTGCTACCGATGGTGACGAGACCAAGCCTGGCCCCAGCGCCATTGGCGAGTTGAGGAAGGAGTTTGACATTCCCATCTTCGCTATCTTGACCCTTGACGATATTATCGCTGGCATGAAGAGCTTTGCGACTGAGGAGGACATCAAGCGAACTGAGGAGTACCGCCTCAAGTACAAGGCCAGTGACTAAACGAAAACCAATATGTACTGGGAAATAAAAGAATGAGGTTATAATATCGAAAAAATGTCACTGGATAGATGGGGTGGGAATGAAAAAAAAAATGGGATTCAACGCGCTAATGCGGTTTTGGTAGACCAGCTATCTCATTATTGCAGATGATGCGGCTCTTTTGGTGATATCTTATGTGCGAAAAATGAGGCAAATACATCAAGATTCTTGGTACAGTAGAGTTATTTGTACAACTCAAAACGCCTGCAACAAGCCAACGAAACAGATCATGACGGCTTCTTGGGCTTAGTATCCTTGGAATCTTCCTTGTTCTTTCGCGTAGGCTCCTCTTTGGTCTTTCTCTTGGGACCGCGCAATTCGAGCACCTGGGGATGGGTCAGTAATTATCAACTGATGTTCTCGAGATATCAACTTACCATGGCATGATAGCCTTGACCGGGAAGGGCTTCCGTGCTAGGGCCAAGGTCTTTAAATGCGAAACACTTGTAGAATTGGATGGCGTACTATGTGCATATTAGTATCATAAACCTTTGATGTAATTGTAATTGTATAATAACTTACTGGCTGACAAATGATTGCAACTCGGTCAGCCACACCAGACTCATTCATGAGCTCCAGATACGACTTCATCACTGTTTTGCCAATACCAACGCCCTGGACCTCTGGGCACACGATAAATGAGTGGAGACAAATCGTCCTTCCCGAGGATTGGTGGCCCAGGGGAGACCCTTTGCAAGCCTTTGAATCCCGCCAGTTCTCAGGCATGGCCATGTCCGCGTCAGTAATGACTGGGTTAGTTCCAAGTGTAGCGAGAACGTGCGCAAACATGACATGCTTGGCCCCGTCGCAGCGACCACCCTCGACTGGCCGACTGTGCTGCATCGTTGAGAGAGATATTTTCTTCACGTCGGCTGGTCTGACGGTGTTGAACAGGCCATAGCAAGTTCCATTTCGGATGCGATACTCAATCTGTCCCCATTGGTTAGCAAGCAGGGTCTGGCCGCATTTTGAGTCTTCAAGCGGCCTCTCAGAACGGCCGCTTGAGAATTCCGTAACTGACCTTCTCGCGCGGGGATCTATAGGCTTCTGAGAGTGCGACATCTTCAAGAGTCACACATGTATCGATGTCATTCTCGGTCAGGGGCTGAAGCATGGGTGCCCAATGAAACGGAATAACCTTCTTCAGGAGGCTAGCTTCTGAGTTTCTCTTCTGGATTCTCATTGTAGAAAAGTTTCTTTTGGTGTTGACCATATCATCATCAGCGTCTCCATCGGTGATGGCGCCATCGTCTTCGTCTTCCTTCTTCTCCTTGGAATCGGTGAGGCCGCCAGAGAAGATGATATCTCTGGCGGCAGAGGCGAATTCGTTCTTCACTTCCATTCTTCCCATAGGGGGATTGAGATTTGACTGGTGTTGTTGAGACGTATAGTGTTGGGATGATTCTGATGTGACGATAGTGAACAGAGGTACTACCTCAGTATAAGTCGGCGCCAGGAATAGAGAGCAGCTGCGGGGTGGAATTTATGGACCGTTTCGAGAATTGAGAGCTGATGCAGAAGACGTGAAGTTTTTATCAACAATATGAGACTGTGCCGAGCCTGACTTGGCGAAAATGAAGCCAATTGAACGATATGAAGTGGTTCGATGAGAGCAATTGGTGAAGTTCGCCTGTGCACTTCTGGAGTTGAGTGCAAACGTTTAGAGAGTGGCGTTTGGTGGTTGAATGAGTTTTGTGCCTTGGATAAGCCCGGCCACGATCAGATGTTTGCTCTGATTTTTTTTTCTGAGTTACTGAATCACAGAACTCGACTCGTTTGACAGTGAATGAAACGTCATGGGACAAAAAAAGATTCCTGTTTGCTCATTAATTCTGGTGGACCCACGAATGCCGAGCTGATCGGATGATGCAGGCCGGCGCCGTAATGTAATGGGGCCAGTGGGTAACGGTTTATAGGCAATAGGGATTACAAGTGGACAATGTTGAGAAAGTGAGGCTATATGCTTGAGAATTCGGGATGGTCAATGTCACCTCTCAGCATGTTTGGGATGAGAGGAACAGGGTATCGTCGTTGAACTGCGACTCGTCTTGTCTCGTTTCGTCTCATATATCCTCTCCCTTTCTGGTCAAGATGGGTTTATGAGCGGGGAGAGCTTGTTCCGGCTCCATCACCAGTGGTAGTTTAGGTCTGGCACATGACATACCAAGTCGCGTGACCTCGACACAGGCAAACAAAAGGCACGGCAGTTTGCAGATTATTTCAGGGGAGCAACGAAAAACAAAAGATATCGAGAATGAATGCAGTAGGTGTTGTGGGTGAACAAAAGACCCTATACGTTGTCTAGGGTAGATGTGGTACGAATAGGTTAGTAGTCAGTTGGTAAGTTCTGCGGTGCTCTATTTGTTAACGAGACCAGTTTTATGCTGTTGGTAGTCGACGTTGCATTGAGACAACGGTCAATGGTACCTTGAAAACAGTATATATGATCTCGTTCTCTTACCTTCTGAAGCCTTATGAACAGTTGGCTCCGATTCCGCCCACTTCCCTTCCAACCCTCCCGCAGTAAAATTGTTCGATGTTTATGACAAGCCGGACAGGAAACGTAATGTAGTAAAGGTTGCTGAACCCAGTCGACGGGAAGCCGGAACACAACCATAGCTTGCATATTCGATCAAGGATGTCGCTATGTGGCCATGTAAAACGCTGCAGGAGATCATTCTGTGCCTCCCGGCACTCCCTGTTGAAGTAACCCAGGCGATCAGCAGTTGGGGGTCCCTGAGCGGCAGCAGCCGCCGCCGCATACGATCTTAAGTCTTTAGACCCTGCTGCAGAATGCCAATATTATTGTTTTAGGAACCTTGTTGGAGTGCAACTCGCTCGATGGTTTTGAGGCATGTAAATCAACGGTCAACTTGTATGTTGGTTGAGGGTTGGTACTATGCAGCAAGTCTGCCTTGAAAATTGATTCGTTACATTCTGCTCGATATGCTTACCATTATTGGACCTAAGAACAAGGACTGTATGCCAACTCCATAGCATTCCGACCCCTTTGTCTGCCTGCATCAAGAGCGACGATTCGTCATCATCGCAGCGCCTGCCTGCCTGCCTCCGGAGCATACACAGTAAGCATCCGTATGTTTCCGTCGGCATCTGAGAATTGCCTTGTCCTTGTCCTTGGCTGAGAGCGTGCGTACAGACACTCCTGCCTAGCGGTACATAGAGCAATACAACATAAACTTGTACTTTGGCTGACTAAGAAAGGCAAATAGGCAGCAATGACCACAACAATCTTGTTTGATGGCTAGGTAGATAGGAAGATGATGAGTGATGGTGGGTTGCGGAAGCAAACTTGGTTAACAAGTTTGTTTGCACCCCCAAAGTCCAATGAAGCTCCATTACAGCTATAGGGCAGAATGGAGGGTGGAGAGGATGATGTAAGTCAAAAACTGAATGAGACGGGATGAACTGTGCAACCCGGCTACCTTGATAAGTAGTAGGTACCAAGCGAGATAAGTCATTGAATTTTGCCATGCTCAGGACAAGCCAATTTGGTATTCCTTGTGCTTCGTGATCATGGCAAATGGGCAGTTTTCCCATATCATAGGTATCTGATAGATCACCTAAACTGTAGCGTCGCCGCTCTAATGGAACCTTCAAACCTAAGTCGAAGACATAGGCAGAATGGAAGCAAAGTCGCCCCTCCCAAAACCAAAACAGCCCGGCCTAGACGCGGAAGTGGCCCCTCATAATAGTGACTACCGCCGAAGCTCATGTGTACCTAGGAAGGTAGGTCATGGATGTAAATGTACCTGCACCTACCTTAGTACACTACACTGCTCTACTTGCATCTATCTCCATCCATCTTCCCCTCCGATATTTTTTTCTGCCTACCTACAACCTTGCATTGGATCCACGATTCTTTTCTCTTACAAGCCCTGTCTCATATTGACGAAAGATTTGTGATTCATCCAAATTCTTTTTACTAAGCTGAGCTTTCACAAACTTAGATGCACTTGAGTTTAACTTTGCTGAGCTGTTGTTGGATTTTATTAGCCACGTCCGCACCCGCACCCGCATCCAAACCTACACCTACTCCTCTCACGACCAGCCACTTTTTCGAAACGCCTTGACGTCTTCCGTCTCATCCCTGCCTGGTCAAATATCTAGCTACTGAATATTATCCTCAATAACAGCAGAAATAAACCAAGAGAAACACTACAATGTCGGTTCATCATCCATATACATTTACGTCATCTTCGCCCATGCTAACCTCGACAACAGGCGCATCACCCTCAATATATTCAACCCCCAGGCTGGGGAGCAGGACAGCCTACTCACCGTCGAGATCTTCCCCGACATGACCCTGGCTACGCTCCGCGAATCTATCCAGGCCGAATCGACCATCCCTCCAACCTCACAACACATCTACCACAACGGCCGTCTGATCTCGGATGATACGCAAACAATGGAGCAGCTACAGATTGCCGATGGGGAGATGTTGGCCCTGCATGTTCGAGATATGAGAGGCAGCACCGGTGTACCGGAACAAGCTCGACGCCCTCAACCGAGGAGACAGGCCAGAAACGAACAGGATCCTGAACTCATTCGCCTCCAGATCCTTGGTCAGCCTGCTCTGAGGCAGCAGCTTCAGTCCCAACACCCCGAGCTGGCTTCCGCAGTTGATGATCCCGCCCGCTTTGCACAGATCTTCCTCGACAGCCAGAATAGGGAGCAACGCGAGCGTCAGGAACGCCAACGGGAGATCGAAAGACTCAACGACGACCCTTTCAATATTGAGAATCAGAGGAAGATCGAAGAAATGATTCGACAAGAGCGAGTCATGGAGAACCTACAGAATGCTATGGAGCACAATCCTGAAGGTATTTGACATGCCATACTATGGCGCAACCTGCATGCTAACTCGATGTCTCCCTAGTGTTTGGCAGAGTCCACATGCTCTATGTCGATGTCGAGGTCAATGGACACCCAGTTAAGGCCTTTGTGGATTCTGGTGCTCAGGCTACCATTATGTCTCCTTCGTGTGCTGAGGCGTGCGGAATCATGAGACTTGTTGATACCCGATTTGCCGGTGTCGCTCGTGGTGTTGGTACGGCCAATATCATTGGCCGTGTTCATTCTGCCCAGATCAAAATTGGAAATTTGTTCTTACCCTGCAGTTTCACTGTCATGGAAGGTAAATCAGTTGATCTTTTGCTTGGCCTCGACATGTTGAAACGGTACCAAGCTACCATCGATCTGGCCAAGGACAAGCTGTGCATTCAAGGTGAAGAGGTCCCTTTCTTGGGAGAGGCCGAAATCCCCAAAGAGGAAGAGGCAGCAGCGGTACAGGAACCGACTTTGCCTGGCCCTGATGGTACGACAATTGGACAGCGCTCTGGAGCCGTTGTGCCTCCTGACCAGCAGCAACAACCGGTTCCGGCACAGGCCGCCCCGCCCGCACAAGCCCCAGTTCCTGCACCCCAGCTCCAGTCCCAGCCGGCGGCTCAACCTGCTGCTCCGAGAACAAACATCTCACCACAAGCTATTGAGAGCCTGGTCTCGATGGGCGCAACTAGGGAACAAGCTATCCAGGCTCTTCAGGCTGCAGACGGCAACCCCGATGTTGCCGCCAGTTTGATTTTCTTCTAGGTTTACACCAACTTGTGTCGACTTTCCTAGCGTCAATACTAACTCGCATTGGGCGGTATCGGGGCCACGACGGAAAATAACAAACATGTAAAAGGGAGCATAATGATAGATGACTGTTTTACCATCTGTTTTAAAGCGGACAGATAGAAAGATTTCGTTCTCTTTAAGGGTCATGGACAAGGAATGCACGCATGACGTTCGCGTTGGAGCATGGTTTTTAGGAGTAACAAGATACAAGAATTACACGTAGTTATGGAGTACAAATTGCTCATCAGCTGTTGGTGCGGGTATTGCTCATCGCAGTGACTAATCTATAAATGCCCATCGGATTTCCATCACGTCCTTGCGCTTACCTGATCTTGTAGACGCAAGGTTTCAAGACGGAGGCCTCATTGACCTCTGGCTCCGCATCGATAGGATCTATCCTGCGGATGATTGGCCTCTTGCCCTTGGGAGCCTCCTGCTCCTTCACATGCTTTCCCTTGGTTGGCGATGCGCCCTTGATGAAGTGCATCTTGACAAACATTCTGTTGGACAAATCAATCGCCTCTCGGTCTCCCTGAAGGACAAAGCCTCGCGACTTGAGCACTTCTACGAACGCTGACACATCGGTCTCCCGGCGACGATCATCCACACCGTCCACCTCGACGGCCAAGTCCTCATCATGCTCAGCATCGTTGTCGGCACCCTTGCCCTTGCCCTTTTTGCCAGCAACGGCGTTCTTTTTGCGGTTACCAACACTGTGGGTCACAGGGGCGTTCTTGTTTCGAATGGGACCAAAACGGCTCTTGATCTCAGCAACCCAGAGCTCGCCCTTCCAGTGTAGAATACGGTAAGCCTCATCGATAAAATCGACCCAGTTTGTGCCCATAAGAGCGAGACAGAAAACGGCAACATTGACAGAACCGTCGGCAAGAGGCAAGTTGGCGATATCAGCCTTGGTGACTAGAGGACTTGGGCTCTGGAGATCGTAGCTCTTAACGTTGACGCGCAATTTCTTGCCGTCTTTCTGAAGCGCCTCAGCAAGACGAGCATCACCACAACCAAGATCTGCAATTGTGCACTCTTGCTGCGTGCGAGGCAGTGTTGTCTTGGAGAGAGGCGTGGGGGGAGCTCCAGGCTTGCCTTTGCCTTGCTGGCGGACCTTGCCTCGCGCACGAATATCCTTGAGGAAGCTGTCGACAGGGTTCTCAGGCCAAACCTTGACCTGGCGACGGAAACCCTCGTGGTACTCATCGAACATCTCGGGGGATTCATCGAATAAGCTGAAGGCCTCTTCGGAGGGGCGGGTGTAGAGTGTCTCATTGAGATGTCGGAAACGCGCTGAAATAAGCTTCTCTCTCATGGAAGCTTGGAGGGGAGTGAGCTTGGGAGGAGCAGGAGGCAGAGGTGCCTTCACAACAGCATCCTTTGCAGGGGATTTGGTAGTTTCTGCTAATTCCTCCCCAGATTTTTGCTTCTGCTTCTGCTTCTTGTCCTTCTTAGGTTTGGGCTGGGCCTCACCCTCAGTAGTAACGGCAGCGATATCCTCTTTACTCTCCTCAGGCTTTTCATCCTCAGTCTTCTTTCCCTTGCCCTGCTTTCTCTGACGCTTAGCAGACTGCTCAGAATTTTGCTGCTGCTGCTTCTCTGGTTTCTTTCCCTCAATGACAGACTCCCACAGATCCGCGACTGTTGAAGAGTCAACGTTCTCTTGCGCAGAAGCGGCGTTGTTGCGCTTGCGCTTCTTGGATTTTGTGCCGGGCGCGCTGTTGTTTTTGGAAGGCGCTTCAGCCTTGAGACCGTCTGACGGAACAGACCATCCTGGAACCGCAAACATTATTGAATAATATATGGGCTTATTATTATATGTGTTGGTGAAGTAGCGATTTGAGTTGATGGGTGAAGTCTCAATGCTTGAATAATTTTTGAGATCTGAATTTTTGATTGCGATAAGGTACGTACTGAGTAGATCCACATCATGGTCCGTGCACTTGCCATATCGGGGTGTTAGCCAACCTCACCTACCTGCATTAGACCCACACATTGAATTGAGTTTTGGGGTCTCTTGAGAATGTACAAATTATTTAAAATATTCTAATTTAATCCATAGCCTTAGCAAGAGTCATAGACTACAGCCGCCGTAGTATGGTTTATATTTGGTACGACATTATCTTCACAAACAAAGATCAGTAGTCCTGATTTCTGACATGTCTTGAGCTGTGAGACTCGTGAAATCCCCTAAAGGAACATCAAAGCACTCCCGGAAAAGTCGTGGGTCGATCCAAATCGCTTGAGTAGCTAATCTAAGAAAAGTTCTACGCCTAGACCCGAGAAGTCTCCTGACTCATACCACGGCCATTTTTGAGATCGCGTTCGAAACAACATCTCGGAGAAGTACAGGCAATGGCAAGGAGTTGGGATCTTGAAGAGGTGTCACATAATTTCAAGAAGACCAATACTTGTCATGTTGTCCTCCCGAGGGAATCACATATACGCATCCCCGAATGCCATGGTCCATCCAAATCGGTGGATGGCGCAAAGGCAAAGAGGCCCGTTCGTTTCCTTTTCTTTTTGCTTTCAGTTATTCTCAATCAAGGCGAGGCATACAAAATCGGTTGAATTTAAACTACTCTGGAAACTGCTCAGAAGACTTGAATATCTGGTTAACCAACAACTAAAACACATCAACATCAACAACTTGGGATGATAAGTGCAAGGGATCTTTGTTGCAATTCATGCTACTAACAGGTCAAGACCGCAAAAAAGATTTCAGTCCAAAGCTATGGAATGTATTATTCCTTGATCTGTTGTCGACTTTTGTACTCGCATCGTTCATATCATCACTCGCATGCTGTGTGATTCATGATAGCGGTTGTGTGCAGAAGACGACTGGCGAACAGCATCATAGCCACCTATACAAGAGCCTCAAGATACACATACATATACCGATTCATGGCGATTTGCCACGGTCAATCGGCTCTCGAGTATTCGGCAACACTACGAGTGACTCAATCCCCAGTTCGAGACCGCCTCTCATCAATGCACGGTCCCGATAACTTGAGCTGGCTTGCATTGCCGCGATCAAGCGTTCATTCATGAAAATAGATGACCTGTTGGGTGCCTGGACCTGAGTACTGCATTTCATCTGAACACGAGGCACATGGGTCTTGGTCTGCACTGATCAGAGTGGCGTTGTCCACTTTGGAGATTTCACAAAGCACGGCAGAAACCAGACCGATACAGGATATCTGTAGATGGGAAAGCTTGCCATGTTGTGGCAGTACAGCTAGGCAGGCAATTAGTTTGTGCCCGAGTCAATATGGGCTCGTGCTAAACATGAGCACATCATTTGTCTCTCAATGTCCTGGACCAACATCGCCTGGTGGTGAACTGAAGACCCAAGTTTCAACTCTTTGATAGCAAAAATAATGACGCTCTTTCCAGGAATATCTCTCTTCCTACCAAATCCTCCCCTCGCCCAAACCAGGTGCACATGCAAAGCTCACACTCGTGAAACAAGCACGCAGGGTATGAGGTACAGGCATACATAGCCGTAGGCCTTTAGAGAACTCGATCGCTACGACACTTGCTTAGAAGCGCTTGTACAACTGACTGTAGCAAAGAAGTTGACTCTTGACGCCGACTTTTCTTTGAGATAGTCTTAGACATGTCTCTGTCGCCAGACAACTTTAGTCAATTCAGGACGAGGAGCATATTCACGGTCCAACATCAGAAGAACGAAAGCCACTACATGGCGGGGCTCACAACATAATAGTCAGCAGGGATCGGTCTTCCAGTAGCGACCAGCGCTAGGTTGAGGCCAGGCCGAGAGATGATGCATAGAATCTTGAGGCTACGCAACGGCAGTATGTTTCTACTTACTGGGTTGTGCTCGTGATGTGATGTATGGTCGCACCTTTTCTTGGACAGAGAGACGATGACATGCATTCAAAGACTCTAGACAGGACGGCAAACGAAGGGCGTGCAACGCCGTGCTTGTTTGTGTCACACCAACGTTCCCTATCCAGCTTAGTTGATGCTCGCGTCAAGAATTGCTTTGGGACCATGAGGACGAAATGAAAGGAGCGTTGGTTACAAGCGTACAGAAGGGACACATAATAGTAGAAAGTCACCGTGGAGTATGGTATAGTGCAATACGTAAAGACGCTCATTGACCAACGGATTGCAGTTAGCAACTCATCTGACAGCCCAACGGAGACTGGGGTTAAAATCGTCTCATGTACGAACAGAGGAGGAGGTTTAGGCTAGACTGTTGACTTGGCTTCGTGTAACAAACATGCAGATGAGTTTGCTATGATTAACAAGTTAAGGTTTGATAAAAGGGAGGACCGGAGTTTGGTAGCCGTTCATTCGGAGGCTTCGGCGGACGGGAGAACAGGGACCGCCCGAGAAGAGTCCGATAGAAGCTAGTCAGATGTAGACGAAATGAAATGAAATTGGTGATTGACAGTCACTACTAATAATGCAAGGTTCCAAGGAATCAATAAAATTGCACCTTGCCTCACAGGCTTGAGCCACACCTACGAGATCAAGGGGCGGTCTAGGACTTTGAGATGGGTGTGATGAAGGAGTAGCAGATCGTCATGGGGAGCCTTATTTAGGGCTGGGATTGCCAAAATAAGAAACGCAGAAACAATACCTATTGCATTGTATTGCACTGTGTAAGAAAGGGTTGCTGGTTGCTAGTCTTTTTACTGTTGGGGGTATGAATGGATCTTGACCCAAGGTTGGATAGAGGTTAAATAATGTGAAAATAAGCTAAACTTTGATTTGCTCGACAATGCAATTATGTACCGGCATGTTATGGTAGACGGCGTTGGTTTGAGTTCAATAGACATTGCTCATTCTTGGCAACTAATTTACAGTAAAGATACGACTGTGCTGAGCACAGATATGACGGAGTATGTATATCGTTATATGGCAGTGCTCGTTGTCATAAGAACTACGGATGTTTGTTTCTGATTAACTCAAGACACATATTTATGACAGATCTGTTTGCATCATTCTCCGTCCAGAGACGGGATTAGCAGTCAAACTAAAAGCTAGCTACAACCTGCCAGCCTTTCTTAGACAATACGGGAGCCTTTCCACATGGACTCTAACTAAATCCAAAGCCATCTGCTTGTTAGGCTTTGGGCTAGGGTCAACGTTTATTAACTGCAATACCCTACTGCACCGTATCAGAGATAGTGTCTTGGCGATTAGCGCCTACAGGGTATAGCATGTGTAGATTATCAACGGGTGGCAGTTTTTGTAAGCGCGTGCCTTAGACCAGATCCTCTTTCAATGCCACAGTGACGGATACGATAGCACAGTCAAAAGTGTATCAATGATATAAATATTTTTATTTTCGTCATCTTCATGAGAGTCTTGACGTATATACTCTGATTCAGCCAATGTCAACCCCGGTCATGCGTTGAGACTAAGAAGCAAACTACATACCTACTACATAAAGAGCTATTGATGCTGATCCCTCTGAGTGATTGATGAATTGTTTATAGCAAGGATGGACGTGGACAGTTATCATCGCCATATCCTGACACTACCTAGCTGTTATTCTTTCTGCGAGCTTAGAGTGCGCAATAGTGTGGTTTTATGCTGGTGAGATATAGCAGAGGTTTTGTTAGTTTTCTACATGTAGTATTACTGTGCCTCGGAGCCGCTTCCATTGATCGTCCATACCCCCATGCTTTTTTACTTGGAAAAAAAAAAAAAGCAAAGGGACGATAACTTCGACTCAAGTAAACTTAATTTTCAGGCAAAATTACTTGATGCTTCTTCAATGCTCACATGTATCACCCACAGTCCCTCAGTCCTGGTTCAACTCTGAGGGTGAATTAGAGGAGGTAAGTGCCCTGGGAGTTACAGGACGTAGTGATGACCTACCTCTAGAAAGTCGCTGGTGTTTCTCACCGGAGCTCTCGGCACGCTAATGTGCCAACTTTAGGTTCGGTTCTTTAATCATAACTATCCTAAACTACCGGTGAATTGGGGCTTGTTCCATTAGGTGATATCTTGGCTTCCATACCAACAGGGGTTCAACTTGTTCCTATCCGGCACTTAGCGTACTATACCGGCATAGGCCAGACAACGTTAGGTGCCTATCGCCTACCTCAATACTGTGCAACGGGCAGACTAGGCTTGACTTATTAGTGCAGTGCGCTTTCCTCTACCATGTCGGTTTAGGGAGGCGCGAACGAGCACTCAACCATCACCGGAAGGAACCCCCCACACGGAAGAACGGGGACGGGGGAAACCACCACAAGCATCCCATCATCCACCGTCCACTCCACATCCAACTTGGTTACCTTATTCTATCTCAACTTCCGATGCTCTACTCGAGTGCTTAAACCTCATTAGACAAGGAGCTCTGGATATTTCCTCCATAATAATACTTGTATTTCCGGCACGCATCCCGCCCTTCCTCGGCCCTTTCTCGTTCCTCATTAAATGCATCCACTGCCTCACCACCGAAACTTGACATTTAGTCGTCGCTAGAACAGTCGATCAGCTGGGGCCCCTTTTCTCCTCTAAACCAGATCAATATCAACTTCTTGTACTATACTTCTATTCACAAACGAGGGAGCTATTCATATCAGAGACACCAAGCAGGCCAACTCAGACACCATCTACAGGACCGGACCTCACTTCAGGGCAAGACAAAGGACAGAACCCTGACTGAGCACAACTTCGTCATCATACCCTTGACTGAGGCCCATGCCCTGTCGCCGGCCAGACTCTAGACTCCAGACTACCATTTCTCGCTCCGACGGTCCAGTTGAATTGGGCAAACCGCCGACTTTCAAGTCACACAAG